TTTAGAATGACCTCATCTTAAATACTTAAATCGCCAGTGACCCCATTTCTAAACAAGGCCACATTTTTAGACACGGGGAATTAACATTTTTAAATACGAATTTTGAAGACACAATTCAATCCATAACAATGTACATTGAAGTTCCATCACACAAACATTTACTTACATAAGTTCATCAAAATGGCCTCAGTTAAGAAACCCAGAAATGAGAAGAAAAGAATTTACACAATCTGAATGATTTGGGCAGTTTTGCCCATGTTTTTACTTTGTGCTCCTGTGACATTGAGATGGAAGATGTAATACTGCTGTTTATTCAGTAGGCCACGATTTCCCTATGCCTTTTGGAAAGTGAGCATCTAGTCACTCATAATGAGATTCTTGAGTTTAACACATACATTTGATAATATGTGATACCTGTCTTTCAGTGGGCTTTATGATCTCACTTCTTGGGATACTATCTCATAGTTTGCTATGCAATTTTCTCCTCAGTCATTCTTTTTGTCCTACTATCTTTTCAAAAAGTACCTTACAAATCCCTTTATTGTCACTTTATCGGGTAAAGGAGAAAGAGGGCTAAAGCTACTAGATACATTTCACATCTTTAGTTAGAATGATGCACATTGATTGAAGATTTGTACCTTGATTTAATCTGGAAAATGCTTAGTTGTCATCTCTTACAACATTACTTTTCTGCTGTATTAATTTTCTACTGTTATTGTAATGAGTCACCATAAATTTGTAGATGAAAACAAAACAATTTTATGTAGGTCAGAAATCTAGGGGGCCTCTGCTGTCTAAATCAAGAGCCATCCTGTACTCTTATCCAGCAATAAGAGAATCTGGGGTTGATTCTGCTTCTAAATTCATTCAGGGTGCCATAAGAATTCAGTTCCCCAGGCTGCAGGGATGAGGTTCAGCTAGAGTCTGGCTGCTAACTGGGGTCTCTCTCAGCACTTGCTCTTTTCATTTTTAGGCCAGCAAGTCAGCTCATTATGTCCTTCTCCTCAAACCCTCCTCACACTTCTCTGCTTTTAAGGACTCATGTGAATACATTGAGTCCACCCTGAATCATCCAGGAAAATCACCCTATTTTAAGGCCTTTAATTTTTTTTCCCAGTACTGGAGATTGAACGCAAGTACACTCTACCACTGAGCTATAGCCCTAGTCTTTTTGCTTTTATTTTAAGATAGTTCTCCCTAAGTTGCGCAGGCTGGCCTGGACCTTGCAATCCTCCTGTCTCAGCTGCCTTAGAATCTGTGATTACAGGCATGTTCTACTGTGCTTGACAAGGCCTTTACCTCTGCAATGTCCCTCTTACATGGTAACGTAACATATTCACAGGTTCCACAGAGTAGAGTGTGGACATCTTTGGGAGGCCATTCTGCCTACCACACCTGCCACTCTTTCTAGAGCCTTCTTGGAACCTCTCAAGTTATTATCTGTATTTGTAATCTTTTCAAAATTTTTCTTCTATATTTCTTAATAGATTTTCAAATATAGTTTATTTATTTGTCTGCACTGGGATCCAGGTGAATTGTCTAATTCTTTTAACTGTGTCTAATCTACAGTTTATCCCAGATAATGATTCTTTAAATTTTTTGGTGACTTTTTATATTTTTTATTTTTTTAATGATGTATTTTTGCTTCTTCTTTTTAGTTATACATGACAGTAGAAAGTATTTTGACATATTATACATACATGGAGTACAACTTCCCATTCTTCTGGTTATACATGATGTGGAGTTACACTGATCCTGTAATCATATATGAACATAGGAAAGTAGTGTTCAATTCATTCTACTGTCTTTCCTATTCCCATTCCCCTCCCTTCCGTTTATTCCCCTTTGTCTAATCCAAAGTCCTTCTATTCTTTCCTACCCACCACTGGCTTATTGTGAGTTAGTATCTGCATATTAGACAGAACATTTGGCTTTTGGTTTTTTTGGGATTGGCTTATTTCACTTAGCATGATAGTCTCTAGTTCTACCCATTTACCAGCAAATTCCATCAAATTCATTTCTCTTTATGACTGAATAATATTCCATTGTGTATATGTACCTCATTTTATTTATCCATTCATCTGTTGAAGGGCACTGAGGTTGGTTCCATAGTTTAACAATTGTGAATTGAGCTGATATAAACATCGATGTGGCAGTGGGTGACTATATTTTTAAAATCCAAGTTTCTGTTTGGTTCCCTTGCATACCCATCTGTTCTTGCTTCATCAAATAATTCTTATTCTTTTTCATGGCAGTTATTCCTTCATTCACCCAGACCAACAGTTCTCAGCCAGGGGTGATTTTTGCCTCTCAAGGGACATTTGGCAATATCTGGAGACATTTTTAATTGTCAAAACAACTTAGGAAACTGCTGCTCACATCCAGTGATGGAAACAGGAATGCTGCTAAACATTCTGCAATGTGCAGGACAGGCTCTGCTCAACAGTTTTCCAGCACAAAATGTCAGGAATGCTGAGGTTGAGAAAGCTTCATCTAGATCATTTTTAAACATATTCATTTAAATGTTTCATCAAACTCATTTCATCTGGAGAATTAGTGTTTTGATTGTTTCTTGTGTCAGCTATCTTTGTTAGCATTAGATTTCTTTGTTATTTTGGCATCATGGTTTGCAAGTTCAATGAAGGTAGTAACTAGGCTAATTAGTGACTGGGATGACATTTCTGTATTCATATTATTTCTGTCACTTTTTTTTTTGTACCAGGGATTGAACCTAGGGGGCGCTTAACCACTGAACCATATTCCCAGCCCTTATTTATTTATTATTTTGAGACAGGGCCTTGCCACGTTGCTGAGGCTGGCTTTGAATTTGTGATCCTCCTGAGTCACTGAGATTATAGGTATGTGCCACTGCACCTGGCTTCTCAGTCCTTTTTTGCTGCCTTAACTTTGGGGTCAGACTCTACTCAGCTGTGTATGTAGATGTGTTGATTGCCTGTTGGAGCTTGTGTTTTTTCAGCAGTGATAGCAACCAAGCACCCAAGGTCATTCAGTTCTATCACAAGGTCTAGAAGGAGCCACAAAACCGAATCTTTGCACAGGATGATGGTGCCAGCTGCAACAGTAGTAATTCAGCAGTTCCTGGGATAAGTTGACTATTACCACCCAGTGGTCCAAGTCTCATGCAAGAAGAAACATCTTTTGAAACTGTGGCCCTGGCTAATGGAAAATTACCAGACTTTATTTCTTCCCCCAACCTCAAAATGCTTGCATCTCCCTTTGTTCAGAGAGTAGTCTGCTCTCCATCACTGCTGTCTCCCTTCCAGTGAAGCCCCCAAAGTCTTGCCTGCATGCATGTTTACAATCACTTGGATTAGTTTCTACCATCATTGAGTCAGAAGCTCCCCCTCATGTACCACCCCAACTCCTTTGTGTGACAGGTATCTTAACCTCAGGCCTTAGAAGTCAGCAGTGAGTCTGACTCTCTTCTTCCCTATTGCTTGGAGATGTCTGTCCCAATCACCTTTTTTTTTGAATTTCTTATTGGGTTGTCTTTTACACTTTCTAATTAGTATGTGTCTGGAATGGAAAACAATTATTTGTTTTGGCTATGCGTCCTCAAATGTGTTTAATCGCAGGTGTGCAAGATATTATACAAAAGTCATACACAGGCCCTGTGTGTTGGCCCACGCCTGTAATCCCAACTGCTGGGGAGGATGATACAAGACCATTGGGAGTTCAAAGCCAGCCTCAGCAAAAGCCAGGCACTAAGCAACTCAGCGACCCTGTCTCTAAATAAAATACAAAATAGGTCTGGGGATGTGACTCAGTGGTCCAGTGCCCCCGAGTTCAATCCCCCAGTACCTCCACCCCCCAAAAAATGTCATCTACAGAACTCAATTCATTGCCTCCTAGAAATTCCATAAAATAGCTCATTGAAGCATGTGAAAAACAGATGAGGCACACAAAATGGAAACATTAAAACAATATATAAATGGGTACACAGCTATCCACAACTCATAGTGCAGCTGTATGATAGGCTAAGTACATTTTCAGAGCGAAGGCCTACTTGGAAGGGAGAGGAAGGAATAAGCAAGAAAGAATGGAGCTCCTGTCTGATCATCTAAAGTTTTCAGAGGGAAATGGACTTCTAGGATTTGCCCACGCGTTTTCCGTCTGTGAGCAGGTTCTCATGAAGCAGTTTATTTGAATTTAATTCCACTTACAAATGTTTGTTGTGGTAGGTGCTAGGGAAACGTAGCTGAGGATAAAATTCTTGGCTTAATGAATTCTCAGAAGGGGGCGGTAGGAAGAGACAGACAGTGATGTTTGGGTGGATGCATTCCATTCCGAGGGTCCACACAGTCTTTAAGGGGATGTGTTTGGGCAATTAATTGTACAGGGTGGTAGTCGAAGTTGCGAAGACATGGTGATTTCTGCTGGGGGTTACGTGAGTAGGCGTTCATTTCTCAGAGCAAGGATAATCCCGTGCAGGGACCACGACTGGGTGCCTTTTCACCCGGTGCCCAGGTGCCCAATCCGCAGACCGGAGAACGTCAACTCGGGCCCAGCGGAAGTCAGGGTTGGTCTGCGCGGGCGCCGTCCGCTAGGGGGCGCCGTGGCCCCGCGCCGTCCGGGCCGTTGCGTTTCCGGGCACCGGGGTCCAGCGCCGCCATCGCCACCGGGCGCGCGCGCCCGCCGCTCCCGTTACCTGGGCAACCGTGGCGCCTCCTCCGTGAGGGCTTCGACCGTCTCTCCGCGCCATTTTCAAACTGCTCTAACGCTGGAGCCGGTGGCCCGAGCGGAAGGAGCCAGCGAGGGAGACGAGTGAAGAAGGAGATGCGGCCGCAGGTGGAGGACGCGGAGGCCGGAGCTGAGGGTGAGGCGGGCCTGGGGGGCGGAGGGCCGGGCGGGGCCGGCGGCGGCGCCTTCGTCGTCGCCTTCCGGGTCGTCCCCGCGGGCCGGGCCTGGACGCCGCCGGAGGCCGCGCGGTTGGGAGGACGTGGGCCCGGGTTGGGCGGGAGGGGCGCGGACACCGTCCCACCGCCCCGCTTCCGTCCGCACCGGACCGCCAAGCTGCAAACCCGAGCTCGGCCGGGAGCTTGACCCAGCCCGCCGCTGGGGCGTCGGCGTAGGCCGTGCGGGCGGGCTTGGTTGATGGGTAGATTTAAATTACAAAGCCCTCCCAGGGTAGGAGGCCGACATGCTGTTGGTGAAAACAGCTCCCCGAGCGCCGGTGCCCAGCGCCTTGGAAAACACCCGGTCTCCGCTCGAGTTCAGTAGCGGGGGACTCCGAGGTACCTCGGTGCACGGGTTCTGTGGCCGCTTTTGTTGGGCGGGATTGTTTCTTCATACACAAGTGTAAAAATATGAAGCCCCACCCTCCAGGGTTAGCAGATGATGCTCTGGGCGTGTCTGCGTGTGGGGTCCCCCAAGCCACCCTTTGATGTTTTGCTAGAAACTTTGTGTTTTTAGGAGGGATCTATGGGATGACCACAGCCCTTGCCCTTTTTGGGAGGATGGGAATCTGTCTTGTGGCCTCGGGCATGATTTTTAAAATATATATGTTTTGTTCTCATTCCCTCTTATTCTTCTCCCCGAAGCCGGGTGTAAAGAGGAATTATTTCTGGGCAGCCAGAGTTGGTAGCTAACAAGGGGGAAATGCTTGTATGGTAGCCGCCTGGGTTTGTCAGGTTTATTTCTGATGTGTTCAGGACGTTCCAGAAAACACCCTCCTGCATCAATCAGTTAAGTCTCTCTTTGTGGAAGGAACCTAGAAAGTGCATTGCAAAGCTCTCAGAGATGACGCTACCAAGTGCCACGAGAGATTTATAGAAAGGAGTAACAAAGGAGAGGTAGTAATTTAGAAGGGATTTGAAAATACAGAAACCAAAGTGCTAGAAGGACTCAGGGGACCTAGCATCCAGAGACTGTTTACCTACTTTGTGGGCCCATGGTTTGGGAAACAGTTACTTTCTTGAACCTTTCTTCATCTTGAAGGACAAATATTGGGCATTTGTTTCTCACAGGATTGTTTTGAGGATCAAATTTTACATGTATTCACATGTGTCCACATTTTACAAATTGTGAATAACAACATAGATGAAAACAAAATTTTTGTTTGGTTTAGAAATGTGAATATTTTGACTACATTTAGCTGGCAAAATTTAGAAAAAAGCCAAGTTTCTAAAGAAAGGAACTTTGGATAACTCCATTTTAGGGCAGATTGGTAAAGAATGTATTCATAAATATTTTAGAAGACCAGTATAAAAACGTGTGCAGAGGTACTTATGTGTGTGTCATTAAGAAGAAATTGAGCCCGGGTGGTGGCATGCGCCTAAAATCCCAGGAAGCTAAGGCAGGAGGATCTCAAGTTCAAAGCTAGCCTCAACAACTTAGTGTTGAGGCCTAACTTACTTAGCAAGACCATTTCAAGGGCTGGGGATGTGGCTCAGTGGTTCAATCCCTGGTACCAAAAATAAAGAAAGAAAAGTTGAAATGAAATTTATATACTCAGCCACCCAATACACACACTGAGGATTGAACCCAAGTGCAGTGTACCCAGCCCTTACTTGTACATTTGAAAAGCTTCCATAAATCTATACACCTGTGTAACCACTTACTCCACTCAACAGTATTTTTATCACCTGAGAAAGTTCTTAATCTTTCCAGTCACCTCCCTGGGCAACTGCTGAAATTTCTATCCCTATAGTTTAATTTTACCTGTTTTTGGACTTAATGTATTTGGCTTTTTCTGTTCAAAATAAACTTTTTGGGGGGTGGGGACTACTGGGAGATTGAAATCAGGGGCACTTGGCCACTGAGCCACATCCCCAGCCCTATTTTGTATATTTTAATTTAGAGACAGGGTTTCACTGAGTTGCTTAGCACCTCGCTGTTGTTGAGGCTTGGCTTTTTGTTGTTGTTGATGGACTTTTATTTTATTTATTTTTATGTGGTGCTGAGAATTGAACCAGTGCCTCACATATTAGACAAGGCTCTACTACTGAGCTATAATATAACCCCAGCGCCGCCCCCACCCCCCTTTGAATTTGAGAGCCTCCCAAACCACTGGGTTTATAGGCATACACCATCTTGTCCAGCTCAGTTCGAGTATTTTTGAGAATCCATATAGTGGATGTGTATCAGTAATTCCTTCATTTTATCCCTGAAACAGAAATATTACATTGTATAAAGATATCATAGTTTGTTTCTTCAACTGTTGATGAATGTTTAGCTGTTTTTCCAGTTTGGGGCTATTATAAATAAAACTGTTATTATATTCATTTTTCAATTTTCTTGTAGTCTTTATGGATGTTTGCTTTTTTTTTTAATGTAAATACCTAGGAGAAGAATTACCTGGTTATAGCTAGAAGTATACCTTTATAAGAAACTGGCATGCTGTTTTCCAAGGTGATTTTTTTACTCCTGTCAGCAGTGTGTGAGGCTTTTTCTTGCTTCAAATCTTTGCTAACGTTGGATATTGTCCATTCTTTTTTTTCTTTTTTGGTACTGGGATTGAACTCGGGCACTTGACCACTGAACCACATCCCCAGCCATTTTTTGTATTTTATTTAGAGAGACAGGGTCTCACTGAGTTAGTTAGCACCTCGACGTTGCTGAGGCTGGCTTTCAACTTGTGATCCTCCTGCCTCAGCCTCCTGAGCTGCTAGGATTACAGGTGTGTGCCACTGTACCTGGCTTATTGTCCATTCTTTTAATTTTAGCTATTGCTAATATGGGTAAAATTGCACCTCATGGGCTGGGGTTGTGGCTTAGCGGGAGAGTGCTCACCCTGGGTTCAATTCTCAGCATCACATAAAAATAAATAAATAAAATAAAGGTATTGTGTCCAACTACAACTAAAAAATAAAAAAAGTTGAACCTCATTATGTTTTTAATTTTTATTTCCCTGATGACTAATGTTAAGTACCTTTTCATATGATATTCCTCTTTAGATACCTTTTTCATAGTGCTCATTCAAATCTTTAGCACAATGAAATTTTAGTTTTAGCCCAAATAAATTTTCTTACTGAGCTATTTATCTTATTATTGAGTTATAAGAGTTCATTTTACATTCCATATATGTCTCAGATATTGTGAATATTTTCTAGTGCTCTTTGGTTTTCCTTTTTCCTTAATAGAATATTTTGATGAGCAGATGTTTTTAATTTTTTTTTAAATATTAAGCTTCTATTCTTTTTATTTTAAGAGAGAGAGAATTTTTTTTTAATATTTATTTTTTAGTTTTCGGCAGACACAACATCTTTGTTTGTATGTGGTGCTGAGGATCGAACCTGGGCCGCATGCATGCCTGGTGAGCGCACTACCGCTTGAGCCACATCCCCAGCCCCAGATGTTTTTAATTTTGATGAAATTTTTCTTTTGTTTAGTGCTCTTAAGAGTTCCTTCTAAAAATTCTTTGCCTACCTCAGGCTCTGAAAAATCTTTTTTGTTTTCTTTTAGAATCTTTATTGTTTTAGTTTTGATATTTATGTTTATGGAGAGATTCATGTTTTAATGCAGCTACATGGATGAGATCATGTGTTGAATTTAAGTCAATCTGAATATTCCAGAAGACTGCCTGTCTGAAGAGAAACAAAAAAATAATTGTTTCATATTAAATTTTGTTGTTGTATTGAACTCAGGAGCACTCTACCACTGAGCTACATCCCAACCCCTTTTTATTTGAGACATGGTCTCCCTAAGTTGCTCACCTTGCCTTGAACTTGAAATCCTCCTGCCTCAGCCTTCCCAGTCACTGGGATTGAGTCTCTGGGATTCCAGATGGGTGCCACTGTTCTCAGCTTTTTCTTTTCTTTTTCCTTTTCTTCCTGCAGTACTGGGAATTGAACCCTGGGCATGCTGGGCAGTCACTCTACCACTGAACTGTATCTCAGCTGTTTTACTTTTTGGATGGAGTCTCCCTAAACTGTGGAGTCTGGCCTGGAATTTTCAATCCTTCTGGCCCAACCTCCAAAGTAACGAGGGTTATAGGCATGCACTGTCATGCCAGATTGAATCTTCTTATTGTGAAATGACAACAGTAGCTGTAACAGTATAATGACATTTCATTCTTTTGTTTTTAGAACTTTAACTTTTAGAAGTGAATAAAACTGGTTTTGGAAGACAAGATGACTACAACTGCAGAAAGAAAGTATATTAATATTAGAAAAAGATTGGATCAGTTGGGATACCGCCAGACTCTGACATTGGAGTGTTTACCATTGGTGGAAAAACTTTTCAGGTAAAGATAAAAATACAGTTCTAAGCATATGTGATCCTGAATCTACTTCTAAGTTACTTAGGGTCCTGTCAAGTTGCTGAGGCTTGCTTTGAGCTTGAGATCTCCTGCCTCAGCCACCCCAGCTGCTGGGGTAATAGGCGTGTGCCATTGCACCCAGCAAAAACTTCTTGAAAAGTGCTTAAATCATCTGTTCTTCCTTATGTCCTAATTTGTCTGTTCTCAGTGCAGGGCCTCCACACTGCAAAGTGTGCAAAGTGTAGGGGTCACTACTCATCCTATTACTGTTGAGAGTGATATTACTGAGGATTTTTTTTGTGAATAGTTTTTTATATTCTTGGAGATACTTCCCTTTCTTTCCTTCTCTCTCTCTGTCTTGTCCTTTTCAGTGCTGGGACTGAACCCAGAGCCTCTACATGTGCTAAGCAAGCTATATTCCTAGCCTAACTTTCTCTTTCTTAAGTTCTATGTCTACTTCACTGATCTTTAATTACTATTATTTTAATTAAGGCTCTCTAATAAGTTGTTATTATGTTCTCTAATATGTGGTTATTACTATTACCTCTTACCTTAACTCAAAGGTTCTTATCTTCATTGAAAGGATCCCCTCCCCCTTTCTACAAGAGCTATATTAGAATGGTTTTGGACTGGAACAGGGAAGGATTTTATAGTAGGACTACCAATCATGATGGTGAAAAGAATGGATTAAAGATATTTTGTGGCCTTTCACATGACCTCCCAACCTTTCATGATCTAATCCCTGCTTTTTCCACAACTTCGTCTCCCTGTGTTGAATCACTTGAAACTCCCCTTAATCTCTTACCCTTGGTCTCTCTGTATACTGTTCATCTGCCTAGGAACATCTTTTCTCCTCTCTGTTCCTTGCCCTGTGCCTGCTTAGCTTTTAAGTTTTAGTATCCCAAAGGTCTCCTTGTTTTTTTAAATATTTATTTTTTAGTTGTAGGTAGACACAATATCTTAATTTCATTTTTATGTGGTGCTGAGGATCGATCCCAGTGCCTCATGTGTGCTAGGCTAGTGTTCTACCACCAAGCCACAACCCCAGCCCTCCCATAGGTCTCTTTTACTTAGGTTACATGTTATCTTAACTGTGCATTATTGCAATTTTTTTTTAACCTTCGTTTAGAATTCCACTTTCATGAGACCAAAGACTGATTTTGTCACTCCTGTATCAGGTTGAACATATAGGCACCAAAATATTTGTTGAGTTTGTAATATACTAGTATGTCTTTTTGACAGACTCTGTAGAATAAAAGCTTCACAGGTGTGAGGACTTTTTTATGTTTTTTCCTCAATAAATATTTCCTGGGTGGATTTTCCGCTGGTCTGAGAGTTCTCAGAAATAAGGAACTAATTCTTATTTGTTGTGTTCCTGGTGTTTAACAGACAGCAAACAATAAATACTTGCTCAGTGAAAACAAATCACAGATTCCACAGACTTGGAGGAGATAAGCAAGAGGGGAGATTCAAAGATGATTCAATGTGTATATATTTCATAACTTATAATAATCTTATTTTGAGAAATTTTGAGTGTTCTTTTCTACTTTTTAAATTAATTAATCAATTTTTTTGAGATATTGAAAGGGCTTTGCATTTAAGCTCTCTACCACTGAACTACATACCCAGCCCTTTTTAAGAAAAATATTTTAAGACAGGGTCTTGCTAAATTGTCCCAAAGTTGCTAGGATTATAGATACATCCTCTATGCTCAGCTTCTTTTTTGAAGTTTGATATAATTTAAGATATACATACATTCAAGCCTTTTTAGAAATGTATTTCAAGTTATTAGAAGTTTAATGAAATGTTTCTTGTATTTATGGGTTCTGTTCCTTAATTTTAGTGACTTAGTTCATACAACAGAAAGCCTTCGACAATCAAAATTATCTACTGTGAAAGCTGAAAAGGAAAGTGCCAATTTTGATTTTGTATTGGAACCCTATAAACTTGAAAATGCAAGATTGAGTAGGGAAAATAATGAATTATACCTGGAATTAATGAAACAGAGAGAGTACTCAGACCAACACATTAAAGGTAAGTGAAAATTTGGTAATGTTTTAAAATAATGGTTTTGCCCTTTCAGTTTTATGTGTTGAAAAGGCTAAACTCTAATTTTAAAACTGGTTGTTTAGAAAAGAGAGTAGTCTTACTAACAACTCCTTAAATACAATAGGGTATATTAAAGAGTTCCTGAGAAGGAAAATAAATGTGTATTTATAGCTGTATTATATGTGGATTAAAGTTTTAGAATTAAAATGCTAGAAATGAGGACATGCTCTTGAAACAATTTTTGTTTTTCCCTTTTTATAGTAAAGTAAGGTGAAAACCATGGATTGCTCTGTCTAGTAATTTTTGATCTGGGAAGTAGATAGAACAGGATGATTTAAAGGTACTAGGCAGAATATAATTATATGGATATCTTATTATAATTCTTACGTTTGGTAGAAAGTCCTAATACCGGACATGAATTAATAGTTTTTTGCTTCTTACCCAATTTAGTAGGTCAAAAACCATTGTATACATTAGGCATCTTCAGCAGTAGAAAAGTATAATTTCTTTTTGTGTTTAGTGAGTTATTTGTTTTATTCAATGGTAGAAAGAGTGATAGGCTACAAAGTTTTTACAAGACTTGGGTGAAGCTTTTTAAATTGATTTGACTTTTTGTGTCTTATGAAATGGAAGGACAGTAGATTTTTTGATCTTTAAAATAGTCTTTGAATCTTTTTCATTTTAAGAGTTGAAAACTACTTTGAAAAAGTGTGCACGTGAAACCGCTGATCTGAAATTTCTAAATAACCAATATGTTCATAAACTCAGACTTTTGGAGAAAGAAAGCAAAGCTAAGAATGAAAAAATTCAGCAACTTCAAGAAAAGAATTTGCATGCTGTAGTACAAACTCCGGGTAAGCTTATTCCTTCCCCAAACAAAATTTGTTAGAATTCTAATGAAGACAAAAGTGTGGTTTATGTTTGATCTTCATGAGAATCAGTTCTGATCTGGGCCAAATGCTTAAAAAGTAAATTATTCATGTGCTTTAGACCGAGACAAGATGGATCTTTCTGTTAATAATTTTGAAAATATTTTCTACTAATTCAGGTTATAGCATGACTTTATGTTATAGGTGATATCCCATCATATTCTAATTTTTCTGTTTAAAAATTCTGTTACCTGCTCTTTTGACATTACTTAATCAGTATGTGTATCTTAGTTCTCACTGTCTTAAGCCCCTCATATGGCAGTTTTCTATTCCTGATGATTTCTTGATTTCATAATAGCAAACACTACAGGACACACTGAGTTTCAAATTTTGCCAAAGGCTAATCCCCATCTGGCTGAGGAACAAATTAAATCTGGGTGTATATGCCAAACATGCAGGCATATAAAATTAGTTTTACATCCATGTCTTGCTGAGGTTTTAGGAATACATTGTTTAAAGAGCAGGGTGGGTGTTCACATATAAGGCATAAAACATTTGATCAATATGTAACGTGAGCCTGGCATGGTAGCAAATGCCTGTAATCCTGTTGACTTGAGAGACTGAGACAGGATTCCAAGTTGGAGGCCAGCCACAGCAATTTTGTGAGACCTTGTCTCAAAAAATGAAGAGGAATAAAAGGGTCTGGGGATATAGTCCAGTGGTAGAGGGCTTCTGGGTTCAATTTCTATTAACAACAACAACACAAAGGTAAAAAGAATTAGATAAACTTTATAACAGAAGCTATCCTGGAATATTTAATGGGGCGAGGTGTGCCAGGGATTGAACTTGGGGGGCACTCAACCACTGAGCCACATCCCCAACCCTTTTTTGTATTTTATTTAGAGATAGGGTCTCACTGAGTTGCTTATCACCTCTGTTGCTAAGGCTGGCTTTGAACTTGAAATCCTCCTGCCTCAGCCTCCTGAGCTGCTGGGATTACAGGTGTGCACCACCATGCCCAGCTGAAGTATTTAATTCTTAGATGGTGTTTTATTTTGTTTCCCTTTAATTTTTAAGACACTCATTTGGGTTTTATTTTTTAGGTGGCAAGAAAAGAAGCATTGCTTTCAGGCGCCAGCGTATGCAAATAGATGAACCAGTCCCTCCTTCTGAAGTTAGTGGTTATCCAGTTCCACAGCCAGATGACCCTTACATTGCAGACCTCCTGGAAGTGGCTGATAATAGGTGCATTAAATTATTCTCTGTTGGGGGCTGAGGGTGAAGCTTAATGGTAGCGTGAGTGCTTAGCATGGGCAAAGCCCTGGATTCAATCCCCAGCACCCAAAACAATAATAATAATAGCTTTTTGTTGGCTTTATTGATCACTGGGTTAACTGTAAGTTTCTTGGTAGGAAGACTTGTCTTGTTAACTGTTGTATCCCCTGTAACTAGTACAGAACTTTGCACAGGCACTCAATGAATACCTTCTGAATAAAAATAAAATGTTTTTGTTTGTTTTGGAACTTTGATTTCAAATAGATCATGAATCTGGGGTTTCTGTCCATACATGCTTTGAAATAATTTTGTGTTAACAAGAACCTATTTCAGAAGAGTTGCTTACACATTAGTTTAATCTCTAAGTTATCTTTTACGGGAATCTTTATTCACATTTATATCAAATGCCAATTGGATAGATTTATGACTGGATTTGAAATTCTTAGGATTTCTCTGGCTCTGTGTTTGTATTCTTTTAAAGTGGAATCATATAAATTTCTTTTAATTGGAAATGTATTAAGTGGAGCTGGGGTTTTAGCTCAGTGGTAGAGCACTTGCTTAGCATGTGTAAGTCACTGCATTTGATCCTCAGAACTACATTTAAATAAATAAATAAATAAAGGTCTAAAAAACATAATAACATTAAAAAAAATGTGTTAAGCCTCCTGGGCAAGGCACTGTGTTAAGTGTTTTGAGGATGTACAGACGAATAAAGTACTGCTACTGCTTTTGAGAAGCTTGAAGTCAGTAGTGGAGATGGGACAAGAGGAAATGCATGAAATGTTATTAAGAAAATTATAAGGGGTTCAAAGGAGAAAGCAAACAGCACTGGTAACTTCACACTATGGTGATAACTGGAGAAAAATTTCAAACTATGGGATACACTAATGGCAATAGTGCATAAACTTTATTTTGTATTTTATGCAGAGATTTTTGGGGAAGTTTTTCTAGTTTATTAATCTTAATATAATAATTTTGAAAAGAGCATTGGTTGAGATACTGATTAGGATCTCTTTACTTGGTTATTCTCATATAATATTATGTACTCACCACCCCGCTCCTCCACACCTCCATCCCCCATATTGGGGATCAAATCCAAGACCTTGCACATGCTAGGCAAGTGCTGTGCTTTTGAGTTATATCCCCAACCCTTTTTATTTCATTTCGAGATAGGGTCTTGCTAAGTCACCCAAGATCGCCTTGAATGTGCAATCCTCCTGCTTCAACTTCCTGAATAGCTGAAATTGCAAGCGTGAGCCATCCTACCCAACTGTGCATACATAGTTACTTTAACTGTGAAATACTTTGTGTTTTGTTCTTCTGTTGTAATCTAAGACTTCTCAGACAATGTGTTAGTATTATTTGAAGAATTATTTGGATTGTATAGGTGATATGAATCTCTTTGATGGCATGTTCACTATAGTTTGCACACACACATTTTGTTTGTATCCAGTCATTCATGCATTTGTATGTATGTATGCATTTGTATACATAGTCTTCTCCTGAATTAGATTAATAAGAAAGTTTGCGTGTAGGGTGGGGCTATATCCAACCTCACTTAATTTACCTCATGGAAAATCTCTCTTAAAGCAGACCTGACTTCAATCTTTTTCTTTCCAATACAAAAGTTGGTTATATCATGTTGAGATAGTATAAATACATTTGGGTATTTGTAGAATTCAGGTATGTTGGACAAAATCTTGATTCAGTTAGAATTTATAAGTTAAGAAAGAGTATAGGTATTTTGCTGTATAGTCACTTGTAAAATTGCAATTTTCTCAATATTTTCCTTCTCCCAAGATAGTAGAGCAGTTCATTAGACAATACACAGTTAGGGTCATAAAATACATTTTAGTCTCTTATCTCAATTAATGATGTTGAGAATTTTGAACCAGACTCCTAGTTTTCTGAATCTAAGAATAAATAGTTGTCCTAAGGATCAAAATGCAGTAGTGAGGAGTTTTATTGCATAATATATCTAGATTTCCAGTTATTTACGGATTCTTAAAATCTATTCTTACAAAACCCTCAAAGATGATATACTACATTATGTTGAGACTTTGGGACCCTTTGGCACTTTATCCCTCACTGAGAAGCAGAGTACAGAACTTTTTAAAGAGCCCCTTCTGTTTTCATATCTTTTTATTTTGTCTTTTCTTAACAAAAGTGTACGTATATTGACATTAGTTACTAATATGTTTCAGGATTCAAGAGCTTCAGCAGGAAGTCCACCATCTACAAGAAAAGTTAGCAATGATGGAAAATGGCATAAAAGATTACAGCAAGCAGGTAGGATTTTCATTACTTACATATTTGGGATTGAAATGAATATGCTATGATCATCACTAGAATTCAGTTATACTTGATATTACTGATACTGAATTTTTATATAGTCTTTATCTTTTCCATTAGTTTGTTTTAATAGAGTTAATAGCTGAAATTACTTAGATGGCTTTAAAGCACCTGGTCCATTTCCTTGTTGTTATTTGAGGTGAATAATCATCTTTTATTTTGATTTGGTTTGTTTCTTTTTCTCTTAGGTGAAACATCTGTCTCCTCAAGTAGAATTTTATAATCACAGTACTTCCTCCATCAGGAGGGATTTTATTGAAGTGTACTGTGTTTGATAATTGCATTTTTATGATTTTTTACTTCTCACAGATAGTCATTTTGAATGTAAATCTCTTTAGAGAAAACTCTTCTGTATTCCTTCATTTTTTGTGTTTTCTCTACAAGCATTAGTACTTCATAAAGCAGTTTACTCAAGAAGCAGAGGAATGAATAGATGCAGAGTTAAATCATAACCATGTCAAGCTTTGTCACTTTATATCTATTGATCCTTTGGCCAAATTACAAGTTAGCTTTCTTAATATTCTTCCTGAAGTTTAAATTTGGATAACGGGTTTTTCATTTTCTGCAATAGTTGCAGTTGTGGAGTAAAGCGATTTACACATACAATTATAGATGTAACTTATATTTTGGTATAACTGTTAAGTTTGTAAAGTACTTTGAAGATTACTTGGATAAAAATAGCGTTAAAGGAAATCATGCTACCATTAACAAAAGATCTTTATTTTATGAAGAGATGTTAAAAATATCAAATGTGCACATGAGTTGAATATTGTTTATTTTTTAGTTCACATCACACTTTCATTACATTTTTATCCAGGTACTTTATGAACATAAACAGGGCAGTCTATAACATCTCTGTGAGGTGACTGAGGTGGTCAGAGAAAATTGCTTGATCATTCTAATTAAAACCACCATTTATTATAGTTATTGATCTTAGTTGAGCCAATATGTTATTAGTTATTACTATTCTTTTTGCTTGAGTGTATTTTGTTTTACTCAGCACACATTTCAAATTTTGTGGGGAAAGAGGTGTAACTCAGTTGTAGAATGCCTACTTAGCATGTCTAAGTCCCTGGGTTCAGTCTTCTGCACCCATTTTGCTGTTCTTGAGTTCTTTCCCAAATTTACGATACTGCCCTCCTTGAGATATCAGCTTGTCTTAACCTCCTATTTTTTACCTCTAAAATTAGCAATATTGGAGCACCGGTGGCACAGTCAGGTAATGCACAGGACTTATGTAAAATTAGCAATATTTGTATTCCAGCTTTTGAAAGACTTAATAGGTATATCTGTGAGTGGTAGTGCATTCTTGTAACCTCAGCTGCTCAGGAGGCTGAGGCAGGAGTATTGCAAGATCAAGGCTACCTGGGTAATTTAGCAAGACCATGTTTCAAGATTAAAAATAAATAAAAGGGGTGGGGTTATAGCTCACTGTGGTATAGTGTCCCTGGGTTCAATCCCCAGTACCAAAAAAAAAAAAAAGACAGTGAGTAGGGGGTTATTCTTTCTGTTAAAGTTTAATTCTTTTGACTCATCTCCAGCCACAAGTTCCACTGTAGATTATAATCCAGTCATACTGAGCCATTTCTCCTACCTCAAAAATACCATGTTGTTTTATGCTTTTATTTTATTGCCTGGAACACTCATCTTTTCTTTATAACATTATTTATAACCTTCAGACATATTTATTTGATAAGGTCTTTGCTAATTTCCCCAATAAACTAACCATTGCAGAATAAATTACTTAATTCCCTTAATTACTTTGGTGTTATATACCTCTTTATTCATTCATTGCTGTGCTATATAGCTATATTGGTTTACTTGCTGGTTTTCCCTATAAAGCTATGTGTTCCTGAAAATCAGAGACCATGTTTCATATATCTTTGCTTGCCTAGTTCTGTGCTCAATAATTATTTATTGAATTGAATGTTGAATATTTTGTTTTTATTATGTCTATGTTTTCTGAATAATAGAAATGAAATTCACCCTTGTTTATTGTCCTTTTAAATACTGAGATTCAGAGCAACTGAGTATTCTGAGTGTTTTTTCATTCATTTATTTCACATTTATTCCATTCATTCATACTACATTTATTCCATGGGGCACTGGTCTCAGTTCTTGTATTTGAACACGAATATAATCCTTTATCAAGTTACTTTTTATATGAGCATTGATTAATCTTAGAGGAGGTGGAAAAATCCAAAAATTAATGAGGAAGAATCTAATTAATGAAAATAATTGGGAAAATTATGTTGGCCCTTCCCTCCTTCCTTCCTTCCTTTCTTTCTTTCTCTCTCTCTCTGTCTGTCTCTCTCTCTTTCGATTGAACCCAGAAGTGCTCTAACACTGAGCTACACTACACTGAACCCAGAAGTGCTCTAACACTGAGCTACACTACACCCCCAGCTCTTTTCATTTTTTATAGACAGGATCTTGCTAAGTTGTTAAGACTGTCCTCAGACTTGTGAGTCTCCTGCCTCAGCTTCCCAACTCACTGAAGTTATGGGCGTATGTCACTGCACCTGACTACATTGGCATTTTCTACTTATTTTTGCTCTACATGTGTGCATTTTATGTGTGGTTACAGATATGAATATTTATTTCATATGCATTGTTGAACATGTCCTAATAAATGTTCACATGAACTTTAGAAATTTAGGTGTGTCAGAGCTGCCTAAGCTGTAACCAGAATAGAATAAGTAAGAAAAATCATCAGTAGCTCTAGAACAGTGCTGTCTAATTGAAATATGATAAGAGCAAAATATGCAATTTAAAATTTTCATATGGTCCACAATTAGATTTTTAAAAATGATGGTATGACTTTCTGTCTTCAGATTGAGCTAAGAGAACGAGAAATAGAAAGACTGTCAGGTACTTTGGATGGTGGTCGCTCCCCTGATGTCCTGTCTCTGGAGAATAGAAATAAAACCAATGAAAAGCTTATTGCTCATTTAAATATTCAGGTAATGGCTCTTATGATCATTTCAGTAAGTATATGAAATTCTAAGTGTTTTTAATGGTCTGTGGGTTTGTAAAAGTAATAAGGTTGTTCACTGAAGTATTATTTACAGTAGGAAAAAAATTGATAGAACCAAAGTATCAAGAAATACATTGCAGTTATTGAAAAACCTTGTTATGGAATATTTAATGATGTAGGAATTAAGATATACCATAAAGTTAAACATTTTTTAAAAAATGAACTTCAGGCAAAGTCTGATTTTCAATTTGCTTTTTAAAAAATCTATGTGTTTGGAAAGGGAAAATACTGAAAGAATATACTAATATATACTAACAAAACTTATCTTTGTGTAATGGATTATTCTAGCAGATGGTGTTTTTATTTTTAAAAAATTTTTGACTATATACCTTTTATAATGTAAAAAAGATGATTTTAATATATGTAAATTAAATTTATACCTTTTATCTACTTAGGCCATGCATTTGACTGAAGGGTGGAAGAGCAAGAGAGTTCCATAAGGCATGGCACATGAACTTTAGAAGCTTAGGTGTGTCAGAACTGCCTGAGCTGTAACTAAAATAAAATAAGTAAGAAATATCATCAGTAGCTCTGGAACAGTGCTAATTGAAATATGATAAGAGCCAAATATACAATTTAAAATTTTCTAATAGTCAGATTTTATAAGGTAAAAACCGAATTTTAATTATACTAATATATTTACCCATTATACCCAAAATCTTATTCACCTTTTAATGTTTTTTTACATTTTTTTTTAAACCAGGACTTGGAAATCATGTGTATATTTTATGTTTATAGTGCATCTCAGTTTGGACTAGCAACACTTCAAATGCTCAGTAGCCACATGAAGATAGATGCTAGTGGCCTCCATATTGGACAGCACATTGTGATATTCTTGTCATGCTTTTAGAACTCTTGTGTTGGAAGAAAATTCACACAAATTTCTTACTTATCCTTTTCTTCTGTGCATGAAAATAAAGCCAATGGATATATATTTTTTCATTAAACATTGTCAGTTTTACAAATAAAATAGTATTTAAGTTTACAAATATAAAATACCTGTGGTTTTAATTTCAATATCTTAAAATATAACTTTTTGAAATATTATTTTGAAAGTTCAGTATTCAGCATAATTACCCAATTCATATGCCTTATGAATTACACATTCAATTTAGGTTGACTTTCTTCAGCAAGCTAATAAAGACCTGGAGAAGCATATTCAAGAGCTTATGAAAACCAAGGAAACAGTGACGACTGAAGTTGTTAATTTAAGTAACAAAAATGAAAAACTCTGCCAAGAATTAACTGAAATAGACCAGTTAGCACAGCAGTTGGAAAGACATAAAGAAGAAGTACTTGAGACTGCTGATAAAGAACTTGGGGAAGCAAAGGTAATGATGTATTTAGGTTGTGAAAGTATTCTTGAAGTCTCCTAGAACACAGTGATGTTCCTATCCAGGTTGTTTATTTTGTTGTGTTTTTCATTTTTGTTTTGTATTTAAGATTTTCTTAAGTTTTGTTTATACCCACTAAATGATTGCATTTATTCTGGCCTGTTGGGAGTTTTTCTGAAGCATATTCTAGTCTTGGGATAGACAACTAAACTCTGTCCTGTTTTCCTTTAAGATTTCTATCTCTGTCTTTTATCTGCAGTGGGAGAGATTCCTCTGAAGTTAGTCATTTTTTTGTTCAAGAATCATTTAAAGGTGTCTTTTAAAACTGTATGACATTGTGCATTTCAAAGTTGATAGCTCACTTTTTTCATTTTTAAATTAAAATAGATGCAAAGCATGAAATTTCTAGTCTGATTTTAGATATAGCCAATGAAATCTAAATGACCCTTTCTGCTTGAAATTTTCATAAAATTTTATTTTAATATTTTATGCTTAAATAGCTTTTAAAAATTTTTTTTAGTCGTAAATGGAGATAATACCTTTATTTTATTTATTTATTTTTACTTGGTGCTGAGGATCAAACCCAGTGCCTCACACATGCCAGGCAAGCACTCTACCACTGAGCCACAACCTCAACCCCTTAAATATCTTTTTATATTCACCATTATACCTGTTTGGAATAAAAAGTATTCAAATTAAAATTTTTTATTTAAAAAAATTTCCTATAACTATAAAGTTCAAACTGTTAACATTTCCTCAGAAAAATGTTAATAATTGGGGGTAAAAGTGATCATAATACCACAAGTGTTGATAAATTTTAAAAAAGTTTATTGGAAATACATCTATTAATGAAATATAATGAGAGAGACAATATGTCTTATTTAAAGCTTTTAGCTAATCCCAACATTTCAGCATTTCAGCTCGTTTTTGGTAGAGGTAGTAATGCTGAACTCAGGGCCTTGCACTTGCTAGGCAAGTATTCTGCCACTGAGTGACCTCCCCAAGACCTTCTTTTTTTTTTTTTTTTTTAAAGAGAGAGTGAGAGAGAGAGGGGGACAGAGAGAGAGAGAGATTGAGAGAGAGAGAGATTGAGAGAGAGAGACTTTTAACATTTATTTATTTTTTTCTTAGTTCTCGGCGGACACAACATCTTTGTTGGTATGTGGTGCTGAGGATCGAACCCGGGTCGCACGCATGCCAGGCGAGCGCGCTACCGCTTGAGCCACATCCCCAGCCCAAGACCTTCTAATTAATCTTTTTATCTTGTATTCCTAAACTTTTTTTTTTTTTTAATATCCCGAAGCAGTGTGCCGTTGTGACATAAATGAAGTATAAGCCTTTCTTTGGAAGAGTGTGAAAGGGAAAGTAAAAATGGATAACTTACATAATACTGAGGCTGAAAGCAAGTTCTTAGGTAGTTCATTTTTAAGAAGCACTATATGTGCAAATTAAGTATCCAACTATTGGATCCTTAAAACTATGTACATACCAGAGTTTTACATAATACTTGGGAACTCTTTTTGCCAGGAATATAATTGAAGACCATACTGCTCTATATCACTGAACTGATTTTATACAATGTAACCTCCACTAGTTAATGTACTGGAAAGAAAACTCCCTCAATATAATAAAAACCATTTATGAACAGTCCATAATAAACATCAGACTCTGTGTTGAAAGACTGAAAACTTTCTTTAAAATAAAAACAAGTCTACGATACATACTTTCATCCCTTCTGTTCAACATAGTACTGAATGTCCTAGCCAGAGCAATGTGGTAAGAAAAAGAAATAAAAGGCATGTAAATTGCAAAGAAAGAATAAAATAATCTCTATTTACAGATAACATAATCTTTAGATCTTTAGATTCCATACACATGAAAGATAATAAATTTAATAAGGTTATAAGTTACAAAACAAAACAAGATATGATTTTATACACTAATAAGAAATCAAAAAAGGAAATTAAGAAATGTTACTATAGCATCAAAAAAACTCAGCACTTGAAAACTACAAAACTGCTGAAAATTTAAAGAAGTTACAGATAAATTGAAAGACATTATTCATAGATTGGAAGACTTAATATTCTTTTTTTTTTTTTTAAGAGAGAGTGAGAGAGGAGAGAGAGAGAGAGAGAGAGAGAGAGAGAATTTTTTAATATTTATTTTTTATTTTTTTTTTTTTTTATTTTTTTTTTTTTTTAATTTTTTTTTTTATTGGTCGTTCATAACATTACATAGTTCTTAATACATCATATTACATGGTTGATTCACATGGATTATGAACTCCCGCTTTTACCCCGTATACAAATTGCTGTATCACATCAGTTTCCCTTCCATTGATTGACATATTGCCTTTCTAGTGTCTGATGTATTCTGCTGATTGTCCTATTCTCTACTATCCCCCCTCTCCTCCCCTCCCCTCCCCTCCCCTCCCCTTTTCTCTCTCTACCCCTTCTACTGTAAATCATTACTTCCATTTGTATTATCTTGTCTTGCCCCTCCTTTCCTCTTATATGACATTTTGTATAACCCTGAGGATCGCCTTCCATTTCCATGCAATTTCCCTTCTCACTCCCTTTCCCTCCCACCTCTCATCCCTGTTTAATGTAAATCTTCTTCTCAAGCTCTTCGTCCCTACCCTGTCCTTGTTTACTCCCCTTATATCAAAGGAGTCATTTGGTATTTGTTTTTTAAAGATTGACTAGCTTCACTTAGCATAATCTGCTCTAATGCCATCCATTTCCCTCCAAATTCTATGATTTTGTCATTTTTTAATGCAGAGTAATACTCCATAGTATATAAATGCCACATTTTTTTTATCCATTCATCTATTGAAGGGCATCTAGGCTGGTTCCACAGTCTTGCTATCGTGAATTGAGCTGCTATGAACATTGATGTAGCAGTGTCCCTGTAGCATGCTCTTGTTAGGGCTTTAGGGAATAGACCGAGAAGGGGAATAGCTGGGTCAAATGGTGGTTCCATTCCCAGCTTTCCAAGAAATCTCCATACTGCTTTCCAGTTCTCGGCTTACACAACATCTTTGTTGGCATGTGGTGCTGAGGATTGAACCCGGGCCGCACGCATGCCAGACGGGCGTGCTACCGCTTGAGCCACATCCCCCCAAGACTTAATATTCTTAAACTGTCCAAAGCCATCTATAGATCCAGTGCAATTCCTATCAAAAATTTCGATGGCTTTTTTTTTTTTTCAGAAAAAGAATAAAATTTTTACAGATCTCAATAGACCCCAGATAGCAAAAGCCATTTTATTTTTCCTTTTCTTCCCCTCTGTGGTTACAAGTGTTGAACCCAGTACCTCACATATGCTATTCAAGCACTTTACCAGTGCTACACCCCCAGCTCTTTTTATATTTTGAGACAGGGTCTCTTTTAAGTTGCTCAGGCTGTCCTGAACTTGGGATCTTCCTGCCTTGGCCTCCTAACTTGATGGGATTACAGGCATGTGCCACTGCAACTGACAAAACCTCTTGCAAAAAGGAGGACATTATTAGTACAGTTTTGGGTTTGCTGCTGCTTTTTAAAAATCCTTTTTTAAAAAATTATATTTTTTAAAAAATGTTTTTATTAGTGCATTATCGTTATACTTTGTTCTGCTTTTGTGACTTTAGTTCCATTGCAATACTATAATATCTCATCCCTCTCTTTTTCTACCTCCTTTTGCATCTTGTGTTTCTGCACACAATATACAAACATGGTTTCTCATAGCCCATTGACAATGCTCAGAAATGATAGCTTGGTTCAATAAAAGATTCATATTGGGTCATAATATTTTAATCCTGGCATTCTGCTCTTCAGTTGCAGAGCAGAGGAACCAGATTGGTAAAAGCATGTGAAGAGAAAACAAATAGAATAGGAAATGATAGTACCATAGGACATGTTCTAAACCCAGGGTCCAAGGAAGTCCTACAAATAAATGTACAGGAAAAAAAGATTTGGGAGGCTGGGGCTGTAGCTCACTGGTATAGTACTTGCCTCACATGCGTGAGGTACTGGATTCAATCCTCAGCACCACATAGAAAAGACAGGTAAAGATATTTTGTCCATCTACAACTAAAAAAATGAAAGAAGAAAAAAAGATTTTCAAGTGGTCCTTTTCTTTCAGATGTTATAAATAGGTTCCTGTAAGCATTGGGGACACCACAATATTAAAGAGAATCTTCTTTGTTGAAAATGAGTGAAAGCCTCAGATCTTACTAGTGAAGGGGAACACATGAACCACTAGAAAAATTACTTGATCTTATTGCATTATGACATAGTAATTAAGTATTCTTAGACTTTTAAGTGTTTACCTAACAGACTTTTATTCCTAGAAAGAGATTAAAAGAAACCTCTCTGAAATGCGGAATCTTGAGGAAACAATGGCAAAACTTCAACTGGTAAGTTAATGTCATATTGAATTGCCAGCATTTTCAGAAAGAAAAGTTTTGTGTTTTATTTTATATATATATATATATATATATATATATATATATATATATATATATATATATATATATATATATATATATTGAGATGTAATTTAAATATCACAATATTCTTTTTCGGGGTTGGGGTATACCAGGGATTGAACTCAGAGGCACTCAAGCACTGAGCCACATCCTCAGCCCTATTTTGTATTTTATTTAGGGACAGGGTCTTACTGAGTTTCTTAGCGCCTCACTTTTTGCTGAGGCTGGCTTTGAACTCAAGATCCTCCTGTCTCAGCCTCCCAAGCCACTGGGATTACAGGCATGCACCTGTCCATTCTGACTATTCGATATAAATGGAACCTTACAGTATATGGCTTCTTTCACTTAGCATAATGGTTTTGTGTTTTTTGTTTTTTTTTTTTTTTTTTGGTGGTTGGTGGTGGTACTATAGGTTGAACCCAGGGTCATTCCACTACTGAGCCACTTTTTAAAAATTTTATATTTATATCTTAAGCCCTTTTTATTTTCTTAATTTTGAGACAGGGTCTAAGTTGATGAGGCTGACCTTGAACTTGAAATCCTCCTGCTGAGTTTCTGAGATTACAAGTGTGTGTCACTGCATCTGTCAACATAATGTTTTCAAGGCTTATGCATGTTGTAGCATATGGTAGTACTTCCTTCCTTTTATAGCTGAATAATATTCTGTATAGATATATAATTTTATATATTTAGAACTCTTTAATCTTTTATATAATATGTTTATAAGTAAAATTCCAATTTGAAAACCTGTTAGGAATTTTACATTCTTTGAAACGACTGTATGACCTATCATTTCACTAATATTAAATCAGAAGTTGATAATTACTTGTTGTATTTGCTATTATTAAAAAGCACTCAAAATTGGTGCAACTTGAAAAGCAGTATGGAAATTTCTGAAAAACTTGGAATGGAACCACCATTTGTCCCAGTTATCCCACTGCTTAGCCTATACCAAAGGACTTAAATCAGCATACTACAGTGATATAGCCACATCAATGTTTATAGCAGTTCAATTTATAATAGTTAAGCTGTGGAGCCAATCTAGGTACCTATCAACAGACAATGGATAAAGAAAATGTGGTACATATATACAATGGAATATTATTCAGCCATAAAGAAGAATGAAATGATGGCATTTGCAGGTAAATGGATGGAACTGGAGACTATTATGCTGAGTAAAATAAGCCAATCTCCATAAAACCCAAAGGCTGAATGTTCTCTCTGTATGCAGATGCTAACTCACAATAAACTGGTGAGGAGGGGGAAGAATAGAGTTCACTGGATTAGACAAAGGGGAATAAAAGGATGGGACTAGGAAAGACAATAGAATGAATCAGACATAACTTTCCTATGTCATATATGAATACATGACCAGTATAACACCACATCATATATAGCAACAAAAATGGAAAGCTATACTCCATGTATGTATATCAAAATACATTCTACTGTAACGTATAACTAAAAAGAACAAATAAAAAAATTAAAAAGAGAGCAGTTTGAAGAAATTGAGAATCAAAAACCTTAAAAAGGGAGAAATTAACCCCTCATTAAAAAAAAATTTTTTTTAAACCACTCATTCCTCTTTTAATAGCTTTGGTATAAGCAAATTATTTTCCTAGTCATACTGCTTCTTCTGATTGTCTTCTAAGGGAAAAGATAATAATCTTGATGGCAGAAACTTGATATAGCATACAGTCTGGAACCAGCAGAAAGAATGTCTTGCATACAGTGTGAATTGGGTGCTCATCCAAAAGATTGAGATTTTTTTTTTTAATAGCCTGTTAAATTGGAAGACTTTCCTTTAAAATTAGAAACAAAGACTGATACTGATATACATGTTTTCTCATTATATAATGCTATATGTATATGCTGCACATAGTAGATACTCAAGTACTTGTTGATTTTTGTATGGAAACTGAACAACATATATACCACAGTGACTTCCTTTTTTATTCAACTTAATAAATCTTTAATTCAACTGAATAATGAATTAACTTAGTCTGGTAAATGTTGTCTACTCCTGAGTCTCATAAAATTCTTCCATTGTGTCAATCAATGTAAAGTAGGTGTTTCAGTGACGTTTTTGTTATGAACTCCATAAGGGCAAGGAATTTTTGTTGTTTTTTCTTTTTTTGTATACTCACTATAAATATTGTATTTGATTAATAATGCTTGTCTCACAACTGTAACCCAAATTTCAGTAGTGTTGGATGAGATAAAATGTTGCTGTTGTATTTTCTGACCTTTCTTATATTTTCATTAGTGCTATGTTTTATGTATTTTAAGATAATAATGATGGTATTAATAGCTAACATTTATTAAGCATGGTGAATGTGCTGGATACTGCAAAATGCTTCAGATCCACAGATTGATCCTTAACAGTGAATCCTGGGTGTCCTGGTTTTACTATTCCGTTCTGCAGATGAGGCTGAGAGAATAACCAACATAGTTGTGAATTTATATGGTAGATATGGTAGACTGAGAATAGTATGCCTTATACAGTCCTCTTTAAACATAAGTTTAAAAGTTTTTATTGCACAAGGACATGATTATTTAGGGCGGGAAAAAGGACAGTATGCTAAACAAATTGGAAGAAAATAAAACCTAAGGATTCTACCATCCACAAAGGAGCATTATTATAATAATTGGGTTTTATAAGTACCATAAAAGTATGGTACTTATAGCTATAGTTGATAATTCAGTTGAAACTGTATTCAACTAATTAAAAGTATGTGTACACATATATATGTAAATTGCTGTTTTATAAATGTTCTTACAAAAATGTGTATTTTACCTGCTACCTTTTATAGACCTATTATAAATAGTATTATATATTGTGTACTATATATTTATACCATGTAAATATATAATACTGTATATTCATTTGTAAATATACTATAAGTGTAAATATATAGTATTATATATAATATAGTATACATAGTAGTATTGTATATAAATATAAAATGCTATTAGAAATAGTATTATATATAATACTATTATAAATAGTGTTGTTTATAGGTACATATAATACTATATAAATATACCTATTATAAATAGACCTATTAATTATAGTATTAAATTTGCAGGAATTAAGTTTATGCCATAAAGAAAAGGAGAGACTAAATGATGAACTCCTTCTGAAATCAGACCTAGAAACTGTTGTACATCAGCTTGAACAAGAAAAACAAAGACTTAGCAAAAAAATGGAAGGTTTTGCAGCTATAGGTAAGATTTAAAATGTTAACTAAGAAGTGACAGTGGTTTGTTCTTCATATGTTATCTTTCATAGTATGTGATAGTTCATTCATTCACTTAATGAGTATTTCTTGAGTGATTACTATGAACTAGAAACCATGATAGCTACTATAGACAGAGTACAAATCTCAAGGACCTTAAGAATTCTTTTACATTTTGACTGGTTGGCACAAGGAATCTTCTTGAATACTTTGCAATGGAAGTATATTTTTCTTTGATATAGAGAGATAACAGAATTAAGACTAAGAAGACCAGTCAGAAAAAGAAAATTATAGAATCTTTTTTTGGAAATACAGTTGTATCAACTTAAAATGCACACTCACTGTTTCTGTTTGATCACCTACTACCCCTTAACTCCTCAGTCCACTGTAGTTGGCCCGTCCCCATGTCACCAAAGAAACTACTATTGTTAAAGTTATTATTATCTTCCATTATGCTAAATGCAATGGGTGTTTTTCATTCATTAGCTTGTTTGACTTCTTAGAATTTAACACAGTTGTCCATCCTTTCTCACTCTCCTACTTTCTTCTTACCTCCTCCTGGTTATCTGTTTGGATGAAATTTGTCAGTTCAGCCTCAGGTTTGCATTACACACTATAGCTTATGTCTTTCTGCTATAAGAATAATTATTTGGCCATGGTTGTGACTTTTATATTTGAATGCTTAGTGTTGTCATATAGTAAATGCTCAAAACATATCTGCTGAATGAATTAAAGAAGAGATGGGAGTGAATCAGAATACATCATGAAAATCATTCCATGCCCCAGAGTTGTAATTAAATTGAGTTGCACTGCACAAAATTTAAGCATTCAGTTACTTTTAATTTCTGTGTTAAAAGTTAATAATTGTGCTTTTCTGAAGGAAGATGAGTTTTTGTGATCTCTTTGTATATTCGTGTACTATATTAAATTCAAGGTTAATATTAAATTTGTACATATTATGATTAATTATTTGCAGGTATATTTTCTTCCAGTACATTTTCAGTTCCCTAGAAGATACCATGTGGGAATTTATTGCTTCATTTTGTAGTACTAAATAGGGTCCATCTTGTGATAGACAAAAACTGTGGGGGACTTTGACTTTTTGGACTTTATTTAAACATTTGATATTTTGCCCCCCCTTCAATATTTACCTTTGATATATCTGCTACTTGCAGGTGATACATAAAACAGCTCAGAATTTCTAGTAGCTTTCATACTAAAAGCTATTGATATTATTTATTTGGCTAATCCACATTTTATATACAACATCATTTTAAGATTTAACTACTTTAATTTGCAGAAAAAGAACTTACTTTGGAAGTTGAAAGGATGAGGCTAGAACATGGAATAAAACGTCGAGACAGGTCACCTTCTCGTTTAGATACATTTCTGAAAGGTATAGAAGAAGAACGAGATTATTATAAGAAAGAACTAGAAAGACTCCAACATATAATACAACGAAGATCTTGCTCTACAAATCATTGCGCACGTGAAAAACATTCAATATTTAAAACACTAGAAAAGGTAATATCCTTTTTATAAGAGTAATCAATAAGGCAAGAGAGGATCAGTAGGAAACTTTTCTGCTTTATGATTGTGTTAACTTTATTCGTAGTTGCTTTTAAAAAGCCCCTAATTTTGATTTTTGTTTTTGTCTGTGACTTGTAGTGTAGGAACCCTGCGTTAATTAGGGACACTACCCAACTACAGCATTTAGCATTCTCATTTTCTGGAAATTAAGAAAAGGTTGTATAACTGAGTCATGGGAGAAGTACAGAGGCTTCTGGGTTTCTAGAAACTGGAGCTCAGGGACTCAGGCTTACTTTCTGTATTAACTACATTTTCTCTGTGGTAGCAGAGTGGCTTTGTCCAGATGGCAGACAACATGGCTTCCTGTCATTTCCATCCTTGGTTGGACCAGTTAGGAAGATGTGTCACATTCTGCTACCAGACAACATCTTCACCACAAACCATACTGTGGGAAAAGCGGTAGATATTGAAAGCTGAACAGATTATTCTGCCCATCCTCTATAACCACATTTGCAAGTTGATAGACTAAAGATGTTACTTTGTTTTTGTTTTTTAATTTTTTTTTTGTTGTTTATGGATAGCATGCCTTTATTTTATTTGTTTATTTTTATGTGGTGCTAAGGATTGAACCTAGTGCCTTACACATGCTAGGCAAGTGTCCTGCCACTGAGCTTCAGCCTCAGCCCTAAAGATGTTACTTTGAAAGCCAGGTATGATGTTGCATACCTCTAATCTAAGCTGCTCCGGTGGGTTGAAGTAAGAGGTTCAAGGTCAGCTAGGCAACTTAGCAAGACTCTATCTCCAAAAAAAATATTTATTTTGTATATATTATTTCTTATTTTTCTTTTATGCTATTGGAAATTAAATCCTGGGTGTTACACATGCTAGGCAAACACTGTACCACTGAGCTACATTCCCAGCCTTTTTTTTTTTTTTTTTCAATGTTGAGGATTGAACCTGAAAAGGTAATATCCTTTTATAAGAGTAATCAATAAGGCAAAAGAGGATAAGTAGGAAACTTTTCTGCTTTATGATTGTGTTGACTTTATTCATAGTTGCTTTTAAATATCTACCACTAAGCTACATCCCTAGCTCTTTTCATGTTTTGTTTTTTGAGACAGAGTCACTGATTTGCCAAGGCTGTCCTCAAACTTAAAATCTTCCTACCTGGGCCTCCCAAGTAGTTGGAATTACAGGCATGTGCCACCACGTTTGGCCTGTATATATTTTCTAATTACATCTCCCATTGTATATATTATTTAATGTTGACCACGATTCATGAGAGGTTAAAATCATGTCACTATTTTAAGGCTTAAATTATTTTCAATGTTTGTTGAGTATCATTTGAGTTCTTTAGATTTTTTTTCTTTCTTCTTTTTTTTTCTTTCTTTCTTTTTAGCTTTGGATTTATGTGTCCCGAAAGCATATATGACCCTAACATTATCTGCATAGTAGGTAAAACTAGGGGAATTTAGGGAGAAAGTCATTAAAATCAAAATATTTGATTTTAGAATTGGATGATTTTACCAATTCTGTCGTCTTTTCTCTGTGGATCCTGTGTCCATTGTCAAATAGTTTTGTGCTTTCTGATTAGACTTTTTGCTTTTTAACCTCATTTCCTAATGACCGAATTTTGATTGACAGTTGTATAGTTTGATTTTCTTAGTGTGAACACTGTCTAATTTATTATCATCAGAATGAAGTGAAAGGGAACTATAGTGCAAGTTAATTTTTATCACTGAATTGTTTTTTATCTTTCATTTATACTTAGAATGCAGGAGGGGGAGTTATTAAATTGATCGTTTTTATTGTGTAGAAGACTCTTCCACAAAATGGTTGATTGGTTTAATTGATTAAGAATTTATTAAGTAGCATTGAGTAGATAAGTATCTCAAAGCTTTTAACCTAAGTGTTTGATTTAGTTGCTTGGTATAAATTCACAATTGAAAGACAAGTGATAGATATTGATAAGGTATTAGTGTAATTAGGAGATACCTTTTCTTCTGTTCAACTTAATTTTTTTTTCTTGAAATTTTATATTACCTAGCATAGACTAAGAATTAACTTTCTAGAGTTCAGAAATTCAGGGTGTTCAGAGTGTTTTAGAGTTCCAGTAATAAATTGTAGGTATGGTAGGGAATAATGGTTAACTACATTATTGAAAAATAAGGCAATTGTGAATCCTGGGAACTGGGGAGTACATTGCCTACCTAAAATTCAGTTACATTTAGAAATATTTTGTATTTTTTTAATATCTTTACATTTATTTTTTAAAATTTTTATTTATTTTTAAAATTCTAATTTGTCATATATGACAGCAGAATTCATTGCAATTCATACTAATAGAGCACAATTTTTCATATCTCTGGTTATGTACAAAGTATATTCACACTATTCTTGTCTTCATACATGTACTTTGGATAAAAGATAGGAAAAGAAGGACTCAAATTAGCACTATTTGCTGATGATATGATTCTATACCTAGAAGACCCAAAAAGTTCCACCAGAAAACTTCTAGAACTAGTAAATGAATTCAGCAAAGTAGCAGGATATAAAATGAACAACCATAAATCAAAATCATTCCTGTATATCAGTGACAAATCCTCTGAAAGAGAAACGAGGAAAACTATCCCATTTACAATAACCTCAAAAAAAAAAAAAAAAAAACTTGGGAATCAACTAAAGAGGTAAAAGACCTATACAATGAAAACTACAGAACCCTAAAGAAAGAAATTGAGGAAGACCTTAGAAGATGGAAAGTTCTACCTTTCTCTTAGATGGGCAGAATTAATATAATTAAGATGGCCATACTACTCAAAGCACTATACAGATTTAATGTAATTCCAATCAAAATCCCAATGGCATTTCTCATAGAAATAGAAAAAGCAGTCATGAAATTCATCTGGAAAAAATAAGAGACTCAGAATAGCTAAGGCAATCCTTTGCAAGAAGAGTGAAGCAAGTGGCATCACTATTTTTTTTCTTTTTTCTTTTTTCTTTTTTTTTTTTGGTTCCAAGATTTGAACCCAGGGGCGCTTAACCACATCCCCAGCCCTTTTTATATTTTATTCAGAGACAGGGTCTCATTAAGTTACTTAGGGCCTTGCTAAGTTGCTAAGGCTGACTTTGAACTCGCCATCCTCCTGCCTCAGCCTGCTGAGTTGCTGGAATTCCAGGTGTGTGCCGCCATGCCCAGCTATTATTTTGTATTTCTTTCTAAAACTGTTTTTGCTACTAGCTGTGAGTTTTCAATTCCTACCTTTTTACAAACTGTTTTAATGTAGTTTCTTGGGATTGTAACAAACCAGAAAACAAATTGACATTTTTAGTGTCACTAATTTTATCAACAAAACCTTGGTAATTCTGTTTTTTGTTTTTGGTCTTTTTTTTTTGGTGTGTGTGTGTGTGTGTGTGTGTGTGTGTGTGTGTGTGTATGTGTGTTGGGAAGATACCACCCATCCACCATGGTTCCTATTGGCAGTTTTGAGGATAGTTTGGGGGAAGTGCTTTGGAGTTGGAGGCATAGTGCAAGTTCTAACTCCAACTCCACAAACTGGCATTACTCCATGCAAACCTGTTTCCTCATTTGAAGAATAGGGAAAGTAGCTACAACTTATTGTGAAAATTAAATGAGATAATTTGTATAAGGGTCAAACATAACACATAGTTCCCAATACATGGCTCATTTCTTTATTATTTGCTGGTTTGAAACAAATCAGATCTAGGTAGAAAGTTCAGTAGATACATACCAAGTGCCTGCTATGAGAATACAGAGATAAAGAAGACAGTTCCTTGGAGCCTTCACATTGCATGTGTGTGTCACATTTGTATGCTGGGAATAATAAAGTTGTGGAGGGGAATTAATGATTATATATTAACAATAATATAAATGTAGATATACTGAACACAGTGGTGCTGTAATCGCAGCTACTCAGGAGGCTAAGGCAGGAGGATTGCAAGTTTGAGGCTAGCCTCAGAAACTTAGCCAGATTCTATCTCAAAACATAAAAAAAGGACGAAAGATGTAGCTCAGTGGTGAAGTGCTCTAGGTTCAATCCGTATTACCAAATAAATAAATAAATACATTGAAATGTAGATATTTAAATAAGATATATGTAGAGTAGAGTTAGAGTTTTTGCTGACGTAAGCCAAATTATGTTCAGGGAATTTGTCTTATTAGGTACCATACTGAGCACCAAACTTGTAGTGAACAAGACCAAATACCTATCATGTCCTTCATAGAACTTAAATTTTAGTGGAACATACTTTAAAAACAAGATTTTTTTTTTTTTTTCAGTTCCAGGAATTGAATAAAGGGCCTCATGCTTGCTGAGCATGTGCGGTACAACTGAACAACATCCCCATCCTCTAAATAACTTTTTAATCTCATTTATAATAAGGGTTAATGTAGAATGTTAATTCTACATTAGCCCTTATTATAAAAAGATTCAGAACTCTAAGAGAACATAGAAAATCTAAATTAAACTAGAGAATCTGGAAGTATTCCTTGCAGAAAATGACTTTTAAGCCGAGACCTAAATAGTAATGGAAATAGACTGTTAAATCTTTATTCATTGAGCTCTCCTTTTCTAGAATCTGCATAGGCCAACTTTTTTCTGTAAGATTTTTAAATTTAGATAAGTTACAGTTTTCTTTTCCAGTTTTAAGCCTTGATCAAGTCCTGAAATCCTGATCTGATTTTGTCCTATTAAACATCTTGTCCTTTAAGGTGTCCAGGTAACTAATCTCATCTTTTATGCCTTGATTTTGCTTGTTAGCCAAGAGGATAATTTATTTCCACATGGAAGGTGAGGGATACCCCACAGCTATCTACCATTTACCAAGTCTGCATTGATATTGTATGTGCAGTAGATACTGAATAATATAGGCCAGGACTCTTTCCACTGTACCAAATAATCAGATTATTCCTACTTGGGGCTTCTACATTTAATACTTCAACATTAAAATACTATAAATTGGGCCGGGATTGTGGCTCAATGGTAGAGTGCTTGCCTTGCATGCGTGAGGCACTAGGTTCAATCCTCAGCACCACATAAAAATAAAAAGATTGTGTCCATCTATACTAAAAAAATTTTAAATAAGGTACTATAAATTTACCATTTTTATTTTTCATGATAACAGTTAAGATAGTGGATCTTTCTTTTTTCTTTTCTCCTTTTTTTTTTTGTTGGTTACAATCAAACCCAGAGCCTCACACGTGCTAGGCAAGCACTCTGCAAGTGAGCTGTATCCCCAGTCCAAGATAGTGAATATTTTGAATTGTATTGGAAAAGTAGCCTTATTCTTATGTTAGAAATGTTGGAAGTAGTTGCTTAATTTGGTTAGTATCCTTAATATACATTGCCTTGTAGAATATTTACATTTGTCTAGTTCCAGAGATAGACCTCAGTAGGTGTGAAACTAGAACAATTGGTGTTGATGTCTTGGGGAAATTGATCTTAATATTCAGTCAGAGAAAACACTGAGGAATACACTAGGCTGTTAAAATTACTTGTACTGGGTGAATAAGCACATATAATAATACCTCCCTTATCCCTTCCCTGGAGAGGAAAGTATCCTTTATAACTAATGGTAAGTCTGGGATAGGTTTCAAAGTTTGTAAGTATAGCAAATTTTTATATGCTGCTGATGCTTCTGGTCTAAGGTTATTCTGTAATTTTTTTTTTTAATGTAGTTGAGATTGAATACAGGGGCCTCATACAGAGTTATACTTTAAGTATCACTAATATGAACATCTCTAGTAGATATTTGTCAAAGCATCTAAATGATTGTCAAAACATCTGATGGAATCTGATCAAGTAGAATCATTGGTAATTGGGTCCTTTGCTGGAAACCTAAAGGCCAAGAAATTTGCCCTGTACTGTCATTCCCTTCATCTACTCTCATTATAGATTAAAAAACAATTGTGTTCCTTAGTTACATTAAATGAACTTATGTTCTTGTTGTCTGTTAGCTTCTTTCAGTCAGTCTCATCGCCAGCATCTTTATGACAACCATGTAATAATGATGATTATAACAAATAATAATTTCTGTATTTTAATTATGTTTCAGGGTGATTATAATTCAGATATTCATCTGATTGCAAGAGAAAGAGATGAACTTCAGCGTATGCTAGAAAGATTTGAAAAATATATGGAAGATATACAGTCCAATGTTAAATTATTGACAGCAGAAAGAGATAAACTAAGTGTCTTATATAATAAAGTAAGAAGTTTGCTGGAATTAAACCAATAGATTATTTAGAACTAGCTAACTTTAATGGAATGTATATGTATTCTTCAGATTTCTGTAACATATGGACTTCCTTTATGATTAGATTTATACTTCTATTGTCAATTGTGTTCTCAAAGCAGAGATTTCCTTCTTTGTTTACATTCTTGCTCTTTTCTAGCCTATTTATGTGTATGGTCAATTAGAGATAGCCTCCTTCTAAAACTACCTGAGCAAGTCTTAGCCTGACTCTGAGCAAAATTTATCCCTGGGATTCATATGTGCCCCAGCATGCATCCCAGGGTTAAACTTGGGTAGCATCACTATTTGAAATATTGGCTATTAAAGACTTAACCTCAAGTGAAGAAACCGCTCGAGGGAAGAGAAAATTGGTATAACTTGGCCCCATTACAAAGCCTAATTTGTCAGAGGGCAAGGTGAGGCCTAACAAAGCCTGTAGTCTATCGTCAAAATTTTTCCAATACCAATACCTATGAAGTCTTGTTGCTACTTTCACAGGAAGAGAAGACATGTAAGTTAAAAGGTTCACTTAAAAGAGCTATTTTCACTTTTTGATCTTTTTTTAGGATTTAGTAGTATAAATTGATCTACTTCTATTATTTCCTTGCAGCTGGCATGGATTTTAGCTTTCTTGGTCAACTTAGTTAATTCCTATTTGTCTGCAATCTAGTTTCCAACATTTTGTGGCTGCAACCTATCAATCTTCTTGTTCTTTTGTTGTTTTTGATTTTATTTAATTTTGATCCTTTTGCTCTCATTTTGTTGGGATTTGGGAAGAGAGTAAAAGTACCATGTGTTCAGTATGCCTTTTTTTAAAACAGGAAACATATCCCAAGTGTTTTTTATTTATATCTTTTAATTCTTTAAGGCTCAGGAAGAATTATCTGCACTAAAACAGGAATCCACTCAAAGCACAGGGCCAAATAATCTCCTTAGTCTTATGGAAAAGGAAAAAGAACTTGCATTATCTGACTTAAGAAGAATTATGGAAGAAAAGGAAGCTTTAAAAGAAAAATTAAAAGTAAGTAGTAAAATTAAATTTTTTTGAAAGGTAACTTATTAAGAAAAATATTTTTGTTCATATATTCTGTGAAGTTACAATTTTGAATATATAATTAAAATGTGGTTGACAAATTATAGTCATGCTGGCCAAATTCAGGCCACCTTGTTTGTGTATGTATGGCCTATAGCTAAAAAGTGTTTTTGCATTTTTAAAATTGTTGAAAAATGCCAGGTGTAGTGGTATACTCCTGTAATCCCAGCTACTTGAGAGGCTAAGGTAGAAGAATAGAAAATATGTGTCCAGCTGTGGCCAGTAAGCTGAAACCCTGTCAAAAAAAATCAAAGGCTGAAGATGTAGCTCAGTGGTAGAGTGCCTCTGGTTCAGTCCTAAGTACTGAAGAAATCAAATCAAAAGAATTTTGTTTATAATGTAGTACTGAAATTTATTTACATATTGTTTAAAGCTTTTTTGTGCCACAATGGCAGAGGTAAGAAACAGCAACAGAGACATTTGGCTATAAAGCCTAAAATATTTGGTATCTGTTTTTTTTTTATTATCAGAAAGCAAAAGGAAATTTTTCATATGAAGATGGACATCTTTTTTAAATAACAATTTTATGGAGTTTTTTAATACTATACAGTTCACCCATTTAAAATGTACAATTCAGTGGTTTTTATTTTATTGACAGATTTGCATGACCTTTACCACAGTAAATTTTAGAAATTTATCACCACCACAGTAAGAAACCTTCATACCCATTAACATCACATCCTATTTCTCCCAAGTTTCCTTAGTCATAGGCAACCACTAATTCATTATCTGTCTCTGTGCATTTGCCTACTACGATGTTCCATATAAATTAAATAATGGCATATATGAATTTTTAAATATTATTATTATATGTGTATATTTTTGCAGTGGCCTTTGCACTCCACCACTTGGTCATTTCAACAGATACCAAAAAGATAAGTGCTTGTGCTAAAAGCTACCATATTGCATAGACACTAAATTCCCAATCCAAATAAGTAAGTTTTTAGGTCTGACATCTCTCATGGGCATGATGTTTTCAAGGTTCATCAAGAATGATGCTGTTATGAACATTTGTATACAACTTTTTCTGTGGATGTATGTTTTCATTTGTCTTATGTATGTACCTGGTCATATGGTAACTCTGCGTGATTTGCTAAGTTTGTCTTTAACCATTGAGAGGCCAGGCTGTTTTCCAGAGTTGACTATACCATTTTATATCCCACCAGTAATGATTAAAGGTTCTAATTTCTCCACATTCTCACTAATACTTGTTGTCTTTTTTTAATTTTATATTATTAATGGGAGAGAAGTATCCATTATGGTTTTTATTTGCATTTCCCCTGTGGCTAATGATGTTGAGCATCTTTTCATGTGCTTATTTACCATTTTTTAATCTTTTTTTTTTTTTGCCTCATATCAGCTTCTAAGAGTTCTTTATAAATTTTTGATAACAGCTCCAATAGATTTGTGGTTTGCAAAACATTCCCCCATTCTGTGGGTCATCCTTTTACTTTTTTTTTTTTAAGTTGCAGTTGGACATAGTACCTTTATTTTATTTACTTTTCTGTGGTGCTGAGGATCAAACCCAGGGCCTTGCACATGCTAGGCGAGCACTCCACTGCTGAGCCACAACCTCAGCCCCCTTTTACTTTCTTAATATGGTATCTTTGAAGCACAAAAATTTTTAATTTTGATGAGGTTCAATTTATTATTTTATTACTTGTGCATTTGGTGTCATATCTAGAGGCAATATTTTGTATTTCCTATTATCTCCCCAAAACATATTTACTAATACCTGTAAAGCACATAATGGTGCTCAGCATATTGTAAGTTCTAAATGTTGTTATTATGGAATCCATAGTTTTCTAGCAATTAATATTATGAAATTAATACTTTGAAAATAGCAGTTAAAATCAGGAATAAAAGCAAGCATTTTAAAGGTAGTCTTTATGTCACAAATTTTCAGTTAACTTTTTTACTCCAAAAATACAGTTTAAGAATGCTTCTAATTGGGATCTTTTGGAATACTGCCTTCCAGAAATTGTTCTCTTATAAAAAAAAAAAAAGTGTTAAAATTACCAAATAAAAAACTTCTGTGCAATATGGCAGCTTTTAGTACAAGCTACTCACTCACTCTTTTCCATATCTGTTGATGCTCAAAGAATTTAAAAATATGATTTAAAAAGTACAGTACTGGAAACTGGAAAAAAGCAATATTCAAATTACCAGAATACTTCTGGGTTGTGGGAAACAGTATTTGGTGATTTTATGGTAGATCTTTTACTTAAAAACTGAACAAATAATCTCAATCCTTGAGCTTCCTCTAGTATCTTTGTGTTATTCTACTACTCACTCATTTGTCAAATCCAGGCAACTTTACTAAGCTCTCCCTGAAATCTCTTGTATTTCAGTTAATAACCAAGTCCTATCAGTGCTACCTCTTAAATAATGTTAAATATTTAGTAAGCCTTTCCCCATGTGGGAGATTCTGTTCCAAATACTTTTTGTATGAACTATCTCAGTAAATCTTTTGTTTGATTGGCAAAATTATTTTATTTATTTTTGTTGATTTTTTAAAGAAAATCAATGACAGTAAAATGCATTACAATTCTTATTACACATATACAGCACAATTTTTCATATCTCTTTATATGAAATATAAAGTATCTTGACACCAATTGATATCTTCATACATGTACTTCGGATAATGATGTCTATCACATTCAACCATCCTTGCTAATCCCCAGCCCCTCTCCCTTTCCCTCCCACCCCTCTGCCCTATTTAGAATTCATCTATTCCTCCCATGCTCCCCCTCCGTACCCCACTATGAATCAGCCTCCTTATATCAGAAAACATTAGGCATTTGTTTTGGGGGGATTGGCTAATTTCACTTAGCATTATCTTCTCCAGTGCCATCCATTTACCTGCAAATGCCATGATTTTATTCTCTTATTTCTGAGTAAAATTCCATTATGTATGTATGCCACATTTTTTTTTTTATCCATTCATCCACTGAAGGACATCTAGGTTGGCTCCACTGTTTAGCTATTGTGAATTGTGCTGCTATAAACATTGATGTGGCTGTGTCCCTATAATATTCTGTTTTTAAGTCTTTTGGGTATAAACCGAGGAGAGAGATAGCTGGGTCAAATGGTGGTTCCATTCCAGATTTCCAAGGAATCTCCATACTGCTTTCCAGATTGGCTACACTAATTTGCAGTCCCACTAACAATGTATGAGTGTACCTTTTTCCATATCTCTCACCATGCACAAAACTCAAAGTGGATCAAGGACCTAGGAATTAAACCAGAAATTCTGCATCTAATAAAAGAAAAAGTAGGCCCTAATCTTCATCATGTGGGATTAGGCCCCAGCTTCCTTAATAAGACTTCTATAGCACAAGAATTAAAACCAAGAATCAATAAATGGGATGGAATCAAACTAAAAAGTTTCTTCTCAGCAAAAGAAATAACTGTGAGGTGAATAGAGAGACTATATCTTAGGAGCAAATTTTTACCCCTCACACATCAGATAGAACACTAATCTCTAGGGTATATAAAGAACTCAAAAAGCTAAGCACTAGAAAAACAAATAACCCAATCAACAAATGGGCCAAGGACCTGAACAGACACTTCTCAGAAGAGGATATACAATCAATCAACATATATATGAAAAAATATTGATCATCTCTAGCAATTAGACAAATGCAAATCAAAACTACTCTAAGATTTCATCTCACTCCAATCAGAATGGCAGCTATTATGACAACAGTAAATGTTGGCAAGACTGTGGGGGAAAATGTACACTCATACACTGCTGGTGGGACTGCAGATTGGGGCAGCCAATATGGAAAGCAGTATGGAGATTTCTTGGAACATTGGGAATGGAACCACCATTTGACCCAGCTATCCTTCTCCTTGATCTGTATCCAAAAGACTTAAAAACAGCATACTACAGGGTCACAGCCACATCAATGTTTATAGCAGCACAATTCACAATAGCTACACTGTGGAACCAACCTAGATATCCTTCAGTAGATGAATAGATTAAAAATATATGGCATATATACACAATGGAATATTACTCAGCAATAAAAGAGAATAAAAGTATGGCATTTGTGGGTAAATGGATGGCGTCAGAGAAGATAATGCTAAGTGAAGTTAGCCAATCCCCCTGAAAGCAATGCCAAATGTTTTCTCTGATATAAGGAGGCTGATTCATAGTGGGGTAGGGAAGGGGAGCATATTTTCTTAATATTTTCAGTATTTGGCCCTAGCTTCTTTTCTACATACTCACCTCTGCTGTTTGCCTCACTTTTCTTAACGTTCCAGACTTAATAGACTTTTTTTGCTTCTAACCTTCCATATGAAAGATTCCTTTACCCCTTCCAATTCCTTTGTCTAGCTAGTTCTTATTCATCATTATGTTCAGATTAAATGTCATTATTCAGACAAAAAAGAACATAGACATTAGATTCTTTTTTGATATATGAGCATAAAGTTCTGGCCACATCAATGTTTACAGCAGCTCAATTCACAATAACTAAGCTATGAAGACAACCCAGGTGCCTTTTAATAGACAAATAAATAAAAGAAATGTGGTGTATATACACAATGGAATATCAGTCTTAAAAAAGAATGAAATTATGGCATTTACCGGTAAATGGATGAACTGGAGACTATCATGCTAAGCAAAATAAGCCAGTCCCCCAAAAATCAAAGGCCGAATGTTCTCTCTGATATGCAGATGCTAACACACAATAAAGGGGGAATGAAGAACAGAAGCTCATTGGGTTAGACAAAGGGGGATGAAGGGGAGGGGGGCGGATGGGAATAGGAAACACAGAATGAATCGACATAACTCTCCTATGTTCATATATGAATATACAGCCAGTGAAGCTCCACATCATGCACAACAAGAAAAGGATACTAATTAAAATAAATTATACTCCATGTATAAAGAACAAAAATAAATAAATTTTTGAAAACTAGCCCTGTGTTTATATTGTTGACCAGCCTACTCTTGAAACTCTGATCTTCTGTCTGGTGTTGTATTCTATTTCCTGTCTTTCTGTTCTTGTATTTTTTTCCTTCATGCCCTGTTTTACGTACATCTCTTATAGGGTATATTCTTAAGCTTGTTACTTAACCTACTGGACTTTTCCCTTCATAGTTGTGCTAATATAGATTGACTTGTGTAAGTCTTTATGAATGAACCCATACTAGTCTGTGTCTTCTGCTGCAATCATGTATGGAGGTAGATAATGTAAAAACATGAGAACCTATTATGCTTTTTTCTTCCTATACTTTTTATTGATGCATTATAGTTGTACATATTAATGGGATTTGTTCTTACATATTCATACATGCACACAATGTAACAATATAATTTGGCCAATATCACTTCCAGCTGTCAGGCTTTTTTTTTTTTTTAAGCCAAAAGCCTGGTTTTTGTAAATTATCTAATGATTTTGTTTCTAAAACATTTCTGTTTTATCAAAAGATAAATATAATAGCATGTAGACTTACATTATATACTTTATTGTCTGATATAAATGAACATTTTCTATAAAATTCTCTTTCAGAATATCCAGGAAATGAATGTTTTTGGCAAAACAGAATTAGAGAAAACTATTGAACATTTGACATGTGTTAATCATCAGGTAATTTATCAAACCAAACAAATTGGGGTACATTATGTATTGTATTAATGCCTATGTCAATTATGTTTTTTTAAAGTGTTTTTTTTAGTTATAGATGGATACAGTACCTTTATTTATTTTTATGTGGTGCTGAGAATCAAACCCAGTGCCTCATGTGTGCTAGGCAAGTGCTCTACCACTGAGCCACAACCCCAGCCCTCAATTATGGTTTTAATACAATATGTTTTTTAAAATTACAAAGTAATATGCTAGTAATGTTGTATAGCAGGGAATAGGAATATGTACACTCAAGGCTGATTACTTGGGTTCAAATCCTCCTTTGTCTCCTATCACCTATAGGCAAGTTACTTGACCTGTATGTCCCTCAATTTCTTTAAAATGTAGGAGTAGTGTTAGTACTTCTTAGGGTTTTTGTGAAAATTAAATGGATTAATAATACATATGAAGAATTTAGAAGCGTACTTGGGCCAGGTGTGGTGGCGCATGCCTACAATCTCAGCAACTCATTTGGTTGAGACAAGAGGATGGCAACTTTAAAGCCAGCCTCAGCAACTTAATGAGACTCTAAGCAACTTAATGAGACCCTCTCTCAAAATAAAAATGGCTGGGGATGTGGGTCAGTGGTTAAGTGCCCCTGGTTTCAATCCCCAAAAGAAGCAGAGTGTAATCATTTGTTAGTTGTTAGTTATGATTATTGTGGTTTTGGTCTTATAAAAATAATTATATAATACAGTCATAGAGTAAAAAGTGAAATTCACCCTTGCTGTTCATTACAGTCATCTCTTAATATCCCCAGGGTATATCCGTTCATATACCATAATCTGAAGATGCTAAAGTACTCTATATAAAATGGCATAATTCTTGCAAATAATCTATGCACATTCTATCATATACTTTAAATCATCTCTAGATAATTTATAATGCCTAATACAATGTAAATGCTATATGAGTAGTTGTTATACTCTCTTGCTTAGTGAATAATGAATAGAAAAGGCTGTACATATTCAGTACAGATCCAACCATCATATTCAGTCTATGGTTCGCTGAATCTGTGAATGTGGAACCCATGGATACAGAAGACCAACTGTACTCTCTCTAGAGATAGGATTTTTAACAATTTGGTGTGTTCCCAACAATCTTCTGTTTCATTTCGATTAAGTTCTATTACTGTTTTCACTGTTTTTATTTATTTGCCTTCTAATTCTGTCATTTGGGTCAGTTGACTTTTCTCCTTATCATGGATTATATTTTCCTGGGTTTTTGTTTGTTTGTTTGTTTGTTTGTTTTTTGCATACCTTGTAATTTTAGATTGGATGCCACACATTATTGATTTTATTCTCTTGGTTGCTAAATAGTTTGTAGAATCGATACTTTTGTGGTTTGTTCTAGGATGCAGTTAAATCATAAGCAAAATAACTTGTTCTATTCATTCTTCATTTTAAGCTTCATTAGGTGGAACCAAAGTAGCATTTAGTCTTGAGCTAATTTTGTTTTCACTACTGAGATAAAACTCTACGGGGCTAGGGGCTGTAGCTCAATGGCAGAGCATTTGCCTAGCATGCGTGAGGTACTGGGTTCGATCCTCAGTACCACATAAAAATAAACAAATAAAATAAAGGCATTCTGTCTGTCTACAACTACAAATTTTTTAAAAAAATAAATAAATATGCTATGTGTTGCTCTGTGAATTATAAGGTTTTCAAATGACTAATAAGAACAGGAACTATTCCTGGTCTTGTATTGTCACTTCCTCCTCCTCCTCTTCTTTTTTTTTTTTTTTTGAAAGAGGAAAAAAGATTTATTCTTTGATAACAAAGGAGAACAACAAGGGACTTCTGTCCCAGAGGCTATGCTTCTCAAGTATTGTCACTTTTTTTAAAATATATTTTTAGTTGGACACAATACCTTTATTTTATTTATTTATTTTTATGTGGTGCTGAGAATTGAACCCAGTGTGTCACACTTGCTAGGCAAGTGCTTCACCTCTGAGCCACAATCCCCAGCCCAAGTATTGTCACTTCTTGATGGTTCTTCCCTATTCTTGGCTAGTTTTCTATACTGAGCTCTACTTAGCTTAAGATTAAAGGGGCACCCTTTACAGATTTCTGGAGTTTTCACTCAGTGCAGTTCTTCAGTAACTGTCCTGCAGACTACAGCTGCTTTGACTTTTAAGTCCTGTCTTCTGAATTTAGAGGGGTCCACAGGGTTCTACCTGGCTACTGTTTTCTATGCTATGGCCTAGAAATTCTCCAGGCAATAAGCTGGAGTGATCATAAAAAACTCATCTCATTTGCTTTCTCTCTCTCTGTCTCAGCGGTTTCTGTCTATCATTGCTTTTTTCCCGGTATCTTGAAAACCATTGTTTCCTACATTTAGTCCAATTTTTATTTATTTCAAGCAGGAAAGTCTGATTCTTATCACTCCAGCATGACCAGAAGCAGAAATTAATAAACTAGAAAATATATCTGAAGAAAGTACTGGAAGTCCTTGGAAAGAGACTGAGAGATAGAAAATAGAAAAGAAGTTAAAATGTTAGAGAATAGAGTGAAAAGGTCTGGTATGTGTCACAATTTGAGGAGATTGTAATACGATATTTGAGAGAAGCAGTATTCAAAGAGATAATGACATTATTTAGATATTGTGAAAACACAGAAGTCCTCTGATTCAAAATGCACAATGAATTGATACATAAACTAATTCAGATCAGTGAGGATAGGAATGATTATTTCGTAACTTTGTAATTGTTTCTGGGACAGTAGCTTCTTATATTAAAATAAGAAAAAGAAATTGGATTTTATCTCAGATTCACCATACCCAAAAAGTCATTTCAAGGTTTGGGGATGTGGCTCAAGTGGTAGCACGCTCACTGGCATGCTCAGGCCGCTGGGTTCGATCCTCAACACCACATAAAAATAAAATAAAGATATTGTGTCCACCTAACACTAAAAAAATTAAACACTAAAATATTTTTTAAAAGTCATTTCAAGTCTATTTGAATATCCAAAACAAACCACATTTATTAAAGAAATGCAGGAGAAAATCTTGACCTTGGGGGAAATAAGAATAGTCATTTACATAGCATTTACTTTGTGTCAGGCACATTTTTCAATGTGATACTCACAGGCATATCTACGTACACATATATACATACACAGATACATATGTAATATGTATATATAGGTAATAATTCTCAAAACAACTATATGTAGTAAATGCTATATTAACTTCATTTCATAGATAAGAAAACAAATAGAAGGAAAACTTGCCCAAGATCACATAGCTAGCAGGTATCTTATCCAGAGTGTGTGCTGTGAAATAAGATATAACTTAATTCCTTAAAGGAAAACATAGATAAGTACATTAACAAAACAGACTTTGTTTAGCTGCTAACCATAAAATGAAAAGACAAACTACTAATTCAGAAAACAAATTGCTACATGTTTGGCACTTTTGCCAGACACCCCCCACACACACACACACACACACACAAAATTCAACAGATATAGCTGGGAATGTGGCTCAGTAGTAGAGCTCTTTCCTAGCATGGATAAGGCCCTGAGATCCATCCCTAGTACTAGGGGGAAAAAATCAAGTGTGAATAGATATTTCATGAAGGAAGAAATTGCAAATTACTGATAAATGTTAGAAGGTGTCCTACCTCAATGGTAGGAAAAATACAAAGTAAAACTATAGTAAAATCATCTTATAAGTCAGGTCATTAGAAATTAACAAATTGTGACAAGTATTTGCAAGTATATGTAGTTCCTGAGAGTGCAAATTAGTTAACTCTTATAAAATAATTTGGCATTATCTAGCAAAGGCATGTTATATAACCAGTTCCATCTCTAAATATGTACTCTAGGTGGGGATCAGCAAATTATGACCCATGGACCAATTCAACCCATCCAGTCTGTTTTTATAAATTCAGTTTTTCTGATTATTTATTTCTGTATTGTTTGTGGCTGCTTTTGTCTTTCAGTGGAGTAGAGGTAACAGACTTTTGGGCCCACAAAGCCTCAAATATTATTCTCTGATAGGATAGGAGAAACAATCTAGTTGTCAATTTTGAGGAAAATGGATAAATGGTTGTAATTCATTCAGTGGAGTGTCACAGAGAAGCAGAAATAAACAATAGCTACTAATGGTGAATGTGTACAAATTTTACACCTAAAGTTACAGCACATACAAAAATTATACCAAAAAAGCAAATTGCTGGAGTTGGATTGTACAGTGGTAGAGTGCTTGCCTAGCATGTGTGAAGCACTGGGTTTGATTATCAGCACCTCACATAAATGAAATAAAATAAAGGTCCATTGACACCTAAAAAAAAAAAGAGAGAGAAAAGAAAAGAAAGTAAATTGTTGTAGAAAGCATTCAAAAACATGATTTGTAAAACTAACCAGTATATTGTTGAGGTTTTCATGCTAATGTAGTATACCAAAGAAAAGCAAGATGTGGGGTACTAACATTAATTTCTATAGTCCCAATTACTAGGGAGGCTGAGGCAGAAGGAGAGTTCAAGATCAGCCTGGGCAATGTAGTAAAACCTCATCTCAAAGCAAAACAAAGCAAAAACAAGAAATGAGAAACATGAGATACAGAATAGTGGTTACTGTGGGCAGTGGGTAGAAGACGTGTTTGGGGACTGCCCACAGTAGTTTCAAAGATTTAGATGGTATTTTTAAAGCCATGTGGTGGATATAAAAACCAAACTCTCCCACTCCCTTGGTAAACAAGATATATTGTCCATTTCTGTGATATTCACACTCTTAATTATAGTAGCTTTCTGGTTTTGCTATCTCATAGCTTTCTTTTTTCCTAAATGAATTTTAGAATAACATCTAAGCCACCCTCTTTTTAAAAAGGTTCAGTTAGGAATTTTATTAGAATTTCATTGGATATTTTTATTATTTACGAAAATTTCAGTACATTTACAGTTTTGTGTTCTCATCCAAAAACATGATTGTCTGTATATCAAGCCAAAGTTCCTCCAATTTTTCATTTTGCCGGTGTTTTCCCTTTCTGTTTCATTGAGGTTATGGATTTGTTCTTTCTTTATTGTTTGTTTGTTTGTATCTTTTCTTTCATTTTGGTGATAGTGAGAAGCAGACATAAATGGGTATGCCAATTCTGAAATCTATAACCTAGTATGCACATGACTTTTATGGTTTAAAAAACATGTAATTTATTTCCTTAGTTTTTTACCATTTTATTATTATAAAGAGTGCCTATGAAAAATAAAATTGAAACATTAAGACATATGCCTATTAATTTTTTAAATTTAAATTATAGCTTGAAAGTGAAAAATATGAATTACAATCGAAAGTGTTCCTAATGAAAGAAAAAATAGAGTCATTAGAGAACAAATCAAAATTTCAAGCTCAACAAATAAGCCAAATTGGCCATGTGCCTGGTGACTCATCTCATCAGAAAACAGAGATGAATTCCCTTAGGTAAGTTTATTGGAACTTTTTTTTTAATTTCACTCTTGGGAACATGTTTCTGATTATGTAAGATTTACAACCATGGCATTTCAGATTGTGCCTTTGAACAGTAGTTTCCAAACTATTTCCAAACAGTAGTTTCCACAGATGCCATGGCCCCATCTCTACTCTCAGCCATGGCCATTAATTCAAAAACTAAATGAGGGGTTTAGGGGATGAAGAAAAGACAAACAGACACACAGATGAAGTAAAGTTCCTTTTCTTTAATTAGTGAATAGAAACCATCTGAGGAAGCCATGTGAAAAAACATTGTAAAATTCATTTTAGATAATGATAAGTCAGAATAATGATCTTTATAGAAGATAATGATAAGGCAGAATAATGATCTTCATCAAAAAGCTCAAACTTCTAAGAAAAAATATATGCATCTGTGTATGTGTGTATGCATAAGATTTATTAAAGCTTATAAACGGAAAAAAAAAAAAAAAAAAAAAAACAGAGAGAAAAAGGTGGGGCCAGGTGGGCCATTGCTCTCTGATGGAGAACCAGTGACCCAGAGCTAGTTCAGCACATTTATTATATGGGTTTCATGATCAAAAAGTTATTTGTGGGAAAGTTTTAGCAGAGCAGACAATCTGAAGAATGCAGGACTGGGTCATCTTGGTCATTAGGGTCATCTTGTTTTGCTCAGAATTCTATCCCTGGGAGCTGGTGCTTGAACTCAAGGTATCAACTGATATTGCTGTGTGCCTTAGCCTCCTCTGGCTAACATCACCATAGCAATTGGGCCATCTTAACCTGCACCTTCACTCAAGAAGTTCTAAGCACAATGCAGTGAGGCAGTCAGACCATTATTCAAATCACTGCTCTCCACGTCTCCCTCTCTTTTATTTTTTAAATATAACCAATGTATGTCTACTCAGAAGTGCTGGAACTGAGATTAGACAAGCTTACAGTTAACTGTCCTTTGTTTTCCCTCTAAGTAAGGGAACCGCTACTGCTGTAAGGGGAAATGGGCAATGACCTCTAACTGCTTCAGGCTGACATAGAGCAAGCAGTTTGGGTTCCTCTCCCACCAAGGAATGTTTTGGTCAGTTGAGGGATCCATGGCAAAATTCTGGTTTGGAAAGAACAAGTTGTAAAGTAATCTAGGAGGTGGGTGCTTCTAGGAGAGAAACAAAAAGACACGAGTACTACAATGAGATTAATACAAAATAAATGAATATGATGATAGTAACAATTTTTTCTTTTACCAGGAAGTACAAGAACTAAGAAATTATCTTGATAGATAAGAGAAGGTTAATGTTTTAAGAAATCCTAATTATTTTAACATATGCAGGATTAAATTTTGGTTTATATCAGTACATTGATATTTGAGCTTAAGAAAAACCTTGAATAACTTTAACTAATTGTGCTAATTATATATAACCAATTTCTACACACAACCTTTTTATAAACCTTCTGTGACTTACACAAACATTTTGTCACTTACTTAGACATTGTACAACTTTTTACTTTACCACACAAAGACTTCCTTTTATGTGTGTGTGTGTGTGTGTGTGTATTTAGTTGTAGTTGGACACAATACCTTTATTTTATTTATTTTTATATGGTGCTGAGGATCGAACCCAGAGTCTTGCACGTGCTAGGCGAGCGTTCTACCGCTGAGCCACAACCTCAGTCCCCCCACACAAAAGACATTCTTATCCAGAAATATTTCCTTTTTCCTTCTACTTTTTATTTTCATACCTAGAACCTTCTATATCTCTTTCCCCTCACAAACCTTCTTACATCTGTTACCCTCCTTTTAAATTTAAATTTTGAAACAATCTGTGAAACTGTTGAATTTAGACAAATTATTACACTTTAATAAGATAAAATACTTTTTTAGGTAATTTAGTTGAAACCTTTTAAACTATGGTTTATAAATTATACTTGGTAAAATCTTAGCTCTGGTAACCTTGTTTTAGTGAAGACCCAGATACAAAGCAATCTCAAACTTTTTCCATTTACCAATTTATGAAAACGCATTTAATGTTATTACCTTATGGAATTAAAGAAATCAAGAGTAGTTGATTTTATATTTAGCAGTTGATGTGTAGCACCCCAACTTTGTAAATTAATCAGATGTCTCCTTTAACAGATTTATGATTAAATCCCACTGATGTTAAACCTAATTTACTCATTTTTAACTACAAAAACCAATTCAGAGCTGGGATTGTGGCTCAGTGGCAGAATGCTTGCATAGCATGTGTGAGGCACCAGGTTCAGTTCTCAACACCATATATAAATAAACAAAATAAAGGTCTATTGACAACTAAAAAAAAAAAAATACTAAAAACAAAAAAACAAGATATCAGACAAATGTAGCTAACAGTAATTAGCAGATCAGAGTTTACTCTTGGCTTAGAGTCCTGAAATCCTCAAGAAAGATTTTTAAGGAAAAGAAAATTGTATAAAGGAAATCATTTCAATGTCTCCCTGTGCTGTAGTCTTAGGGAGGAACTTGTTAAGAAAGCAAGGTGGGGGCTGGGGATGTGGCTCAAGCGGTAGCGTGCCATGCCTGGCATGCGTGCGGCCTGGGTTCGATCCTCAGCGCCGCATACCAACAGGGATGTTGTGTCCGCCGAGAACTAAAAAATAAATATTAAAAATTCTCCCTCTCTCTCTCTCTCTCTCTCTCTCTCTCTCTCTCTCCTCTCTCTTAAAAAAAAAAAAAAAAAAAGAAAAAAAAAGAAAGCAAGATGGCAGGGTGCCAGAAAAAACAAGACAGCCCACCACAGCAGGTTGAATTTAAAAGTGACATTTTTTTTCCTTGGTCTCAAACCAGTTTTTGCAGTTTACTTTCTAAATGAAAGCCTAAGAGAGAAAGAGATCTAGCATAAACAGAAAGCATAATCTTAAGCATTGCAACATAGAGATCCCTTTCTTTGGATCCCAGTTGTTTCATGATTTAGACCCACCTATAAACTTGCTTCTCACTTTTCTTTGCTACCTCGGCCTCAGAAGGAAGCATCCTCCCATCTGACCATTGAAGAAGATCCCCTGTGTCCAGTCCCTGTTTGGGCACCAACTGTCTGGGCCCTCTCATTTTTGTTCTCAGCAACGGTCATTAATTCAGGGAAAGACACTGGACAAATAGGAGCCATGGAGGATGAAGAAAAGACAGATACACAGAGAGAGAAAGGTGGGGCCAAGTGGGACACTGCTCTCTGGTGGAGACATAGTGACGCAGAGCTAGCTCAGCATGTTTATTATATAGGTTTAATCACCAAAAGGCTATTTATTGGGGCTGGGGTTGTGGCTCAGTGGTAGAGCGTTCGCCTAGCACTTGCAACGTACTGGGTTCAATCCTCAGCACCACATTAAAAATAAATAGATAAAATAAGGTTAAAAAAAGAAAAGAATGCAGAATGTGTAGCTTAGAAATATTGAGTTGTCTGTCAATACTGTGTCCAACTACAACTAAAAAAAAAATATTCAAAAAACCAAAAGATTATTTATGGAAAAGTTGTAACAAAGCAGACAATCTAAAAGGACACAGGTCTGACAAGACATTAGGGTCATTTTATTTTGCTCAAAATTCTCTGACCCTCGGAGATGGTGCCTGAGCTCAAAGTCCCAACTGATAACTCTGAGCATTTGCACAGTTTTCTCAGGCTGCAGCACCATAGCAACTGGGCCATCTCAACCTGTACTTTCACACAGGTGGGTCCCAGTGCAAACACAGCCATGAGGGAGTCAAAAAGACCATGATTTAAATCACCACTCTCCACAGTTGGCCTATAAGCAGAATCACCTGGAGCTTTTGAAAAGTATGAATTTAGGGCCTGTCTCTCTGGCTTTAAATTTGCTGAGTAAATCTCAATAGATTTTAGGTATGTGGTTTTGGATTTTGGTTTTTAGTGTTGGGAATTGAACCCAGGTGTACTTAACCATTGAATAACATCACCAGCCCTTTTTATTTTTTCATTTTTAGATAGGATCTCACTAAGTTGCATATGACCTCACTAAATTGCTGAGGCTGACCTGGAATTTAACAATCCTCCTCTCTCTGAGCCACTGGGATTAGGGGCATGAGCAACTGCCTCCAGATGGGTATCTGTATTTTTTTTTAATGTTTATAAATTAATATGATTGTAAACAAGTTTTTAAATCTGTAGGGTAGGACTGCTGAAAAGGATAGAATTTTTTGCTACCTATGCCATTTTCCTTCTTTTTCTTGCCTCTTTCAAGGAAGTAAATGTAAAATCTGAATATGTATCTTCTATTTTGAACCCTTTCTGACTAAAAAGCAGACATCTTTAACGAAGGAGGGTGTACATGAGTAGCATGCTTCTTAGAAAGCTAACTCTGGTAGAAATATGGAACATGGATTTGAAGTCTTAGAGACTTGATGGCATACAGTGGACACCAAAGGTCTAGACTGAAACCTGGCAATGAACTTGGAGAACAGAGGCTTTGTATCTAAGAAATGTTTCATACATAAAACCAAAAGACCTAATGACTTATACAGTTATAAAAAGAAGATAAAACAGGACTGGGGTTGTGGCTCAGTGGTAGAGTGCTGCTCGCCTAGCATGGTGTCCAGGGTTCGATCCTCAGCACCACGTTAAAAAAAATAAATAAAGGTTAAAAAAAAGAAAATAATGCAGAATGTGTAGCTTGTCAGCAGTTACTCAATTTTTAACACAGAAGGTTCAGGGAAACAAAAAGCAAACAAATTTTAGTTTTTTGTCTGGATTGGGTAACTTCCATAAGTAGAAAGATTTTGAAGGTCAGCAAGGCATTACTCTGAAGAGTCAGGAAATCTGTCTATAAACTATATCTATAATAAGGATCAGGAATAGATTTTAAAATCATTACACTGGTAAAACTAAATCAGTTTTACAGATGTAAACCAATAACAACTCGATCAGAAAGGATTTTAGTCATGATTTTAAAAAAGATTGACAAGTTAAAACTGAAGGATTACTAAATAGTATATTGGCTGTTGCAGAAAATGAGCTGAAATAGAAAATAGAGTCAAGAAATTTACCCAGAACGCAGGACAAAAAGAAAGGATGAGGTGGTGGGGACAACTTTATTTTTTTTTTTTAAAGACACAGATCCAATATTACAAAAACCAAGAATCACAGAAGTATATAGTGGAAAAAACAGAGCAAAGGTGAGAATCAAAGGAATAATTAGGAAAAGAAAAACCTGAGACTGTTGTTCATAGGGTTCCCTGATATATGAAATAGCTTAAGGAAATAAGTCCAAGAACTGGTTACCTGGTCAGTTATGGAATACTGTTTGCCACTTATTTAGAGCATCTTCATTTTGCTCTTTTACTGATTGACTGCAGTCTTTATAAGGTTGACTTTAGAAAAAACTAATGCATATACTACTTTTTGCTTCATTCTCTTTTTGCAAGCACTACCTATATTCTATGAAGGACAGCTGAATGGCCCAGCTCCTCTTCTGGTTCGTGTCTGTCTTAATCTCCGAAATACAAATATCATGTTGTGTGTTTGTCTCTCAGAATTATTAGTATATCCTTTTCACTCTATCCATCTGACAGGATCTGGCATTTAATCCATTTTGCTTTTCCTTCTGATTGTAGCAACACCCCTTTTCTTTTCTCACGGAAAGTTCAGAAGGTAGCGCTTTCAGTACCCTCTCTTGAACACCCTAGTCTGTAGCTCCTTTGGGGTTTTTGTTCTTATACTAAAATCCTTTTTTCTTGGATGCAGTCTGCCTGTTTCCTTTCTTAGGGGTAATCTAATCAATGTGCTACAGGAGGGGACTGAGAATTTTTCTTATATAATCTGGGGATATCACATTATTTTATAACTTCATTTCGCTCTGACAGAAAACTATGACACATCTTTGAGGCTATTGTGCCATTCACATTCTCCACATTAGTAAGCATTATTAGAACCATGAGTTCAAGCTGTTAGTTCCAAATACAAAGCTAAACTCAGTACAAACCATAATACCTATAAAAACAAAGGCACGTTGTCCAAACCTTGTGCCATTTTTTATATGTTTAATAGAGAAGAGCTCTCTTGCTGCTCTTTTAATCACATCAACCTCTCTTTTCCTTGATAGGAACATGTTTAAGAATCAGATTCTCAGATAAATGAGGCCCTTGTTCCTTCCCATCCACCTCATGAGGCTAGGCATTTTTTTTTCCACCAAATTAAGGTGTCACCAAACAGGATTTTCTTTATCAGGCACAGTCTCTTAGTTGTCCAAATAAAATGCCTTTTGTCTAGCTGTTGGGGTAAATCAGAGGATATACTATAAAATCCCACTTTTAGCTGGGCATAGTGATGCATACGTATAATCCCAGCTACTTAGGAAGCTAAGGCAGAAGGATTGCATGTTCAAGACTAGCCTGGACAACGTAGTGAGACTATGTCTTTAAAGTGGAAAATAAAAAGGGCTAGAGATATAGTTCAATGGTAGAATACCCCTGGGTTCAGTCCCCAATACCACTAAATGAATGAATGAATAAGAAATTTTATTTATTCCCACTCTTCAAAATTAAACAATGACTTTTGTCCCCCTCAAATTGCAGTATTTAATGAGATGTGGTATTTTATCAAAACTTCATAACGCTAATAACAGGGAACATTTCTGTACTTAGGAAAGATGCCTACTGCCTCCTCAGAGCTTGCTAGCCAAGCTCTAGAACCAAAGTTAGCAAATTTTCTACAAATAGAGAGTCAGTATTCTTCAATTACTTAAGCATTTATAAACCCATTTGTACATCTCAGTTCTTCCAAAAATAAATAGCAGACTGTAGTTTGTCAATCCTACTCAAGGATAAATTGTTCCTAGCCTAGTTAGACAACTAACTTCTTAACCCCTTGGCAAATATCCTTGATCCTTACAACTAAATAGTGCTTTTTTCAATTTACCTTAGCTTTTTATCTTTGCATGTTCATTATCTGAAAGTTGCCAGCCATGATGGTGCACACATGGGAGGCTGAAGCAGGAGATTGAAAGTTCAGGGTCATCTTGGCAAGTTAGCAAGATCCTATCTCAAAGGACTGAAATTATAGCTTAGTTTTAGAGTACTTGCCTACATGTGCAAGGACGTGGGTTCAATCCCCAGTACTGTAAATAAATAAATAGCAAGCTATGCAGTTATCCAGTCAAATAAATGGTATAGCAGATTTTCCTGAAAACAGTCCATAAACTCTAATCAGACAAAGTTATACCAACAGATATGTTTTACTAAGATTTGTTTAGATACATTTGGAAAGCCAATGTAACAGGTCTCCTTTGAAAAGTGTTTATTTGCTAAAGGAATTAAATATCATTTTAGATAAGGGAAAGAAGGCTCATAGATTATCTTGGATGTCAAGAAACTCATTCTGAGTATTCCCAATGTTCTTCCAAGACAGAAAGATGAGCAGGGCTCTTAATGGGATAGCTGAGCTTGTGAAACTAGAATTGAAAGAACTAAGGGAACTGCGGCCACCAGTTATCATCCCCTTGCAGAAGCCTAAAATGAAAAAAAAAAAAAAAGTTAATCCCTCTTCCCTCTCTGGTGTACCAACAGGCAATACTTAGTAATAATCTTTCTCATTGAGTGTTGGGCTATAACCATAGACTTCTGGGAAACAAGCACCCTTATGAACAAATAATATGGCAATCACTGAGGTATTCTTTCTTAGGAACTTTCTGCCTCACTTCTTTCATTAAGAAGACCTTTATCTTAGTACTAAGTTCAGTCAGAAGTTACTTCCAGGATCTGGTATACAGTCTTAGTTGTCTATTTTTCTTTCTACATGAGAATATAAAAAAGCAAAGCTATTATTAGGACTCTCCCAAGGGCTTCCTTTATGTGAATATTAATCAAGACGTTTGTTATCTTGCTTTCCTTTATCAACTCTGCTTTCATCAGCAAATTACCCTACCTATGAAATTAAATGCAAAGAGATTATTACATTTTTGCCTAGAATTTCAAGCACAGTTACTCACTTGGCATCCTTTATTAAGGATGGAACTCTGGGGGCCATTTTATTTTATTTTTTTAGATGTTGATAGACCTTTATTTTATTTATTTATATTTGCTACTGAGAATTGAACCCAGTGCCCCACAAATGCTAGACAAGTGCGCTACCACTGAGCCACAACCCCAACACCCACTGCCCATTTTTATTTTTGAAAGGACTTTGTATGGCTTCCTGACAGACTTTTTCCATGTAGAGGATTTATCTCCCTTTATTCTGCATATTGAAGCAATAGGATGTAGTAGAAGAACATTGATGTCATGTTAGATTAGCCTAGATTTGCATCTTTTCTTTGCCTTTACTGACTTTGTGAACTTGGGCAAGTTATTAGTTGTTTCTGTAAAACTTGGATAGTATCGCCTTGTGTTGTTATATCCCATATAATAAAAAGGAAGATCTTGATTAGCCACCTGGATCTAATTTTGTAATTTTATGAAGTCATTCTGCTTGAACCTAGTGACTTTCTGACATGGTTTGGTTTGGTTGTGCAGTTCTAAGTAACTTTCCTCCTTATTTTTTGTGGAGGCGGGGATACTGATACTCACCTAGTTGCTCAGCGCCTCACTGTTACTGAGGCTGGCTTTGAACTCTCAATCATCCTGTTTCAGCCTCTGGAGCTGCTGGAATTATAGGAATGCACCATTGTACCCAGCTCCTCCCTATTTCTGGGTCATGATTAACTTGCTAATAGAAAAGTTAGCATAATCTCTTTTATTTTACATAATACTTCTTAGTATTGCTAGTAATTTTTTTTTGTTGTCCTATTTTACTAGAGGTTTACAATCCAAACCTCCTCCATTAAGCAGTTCTAAGCTAAGCAACCCTTAGTATCTTCTTCTCTATTTTATCCTCTAAAGACGCCTATTCCTGACAAATAACCTGGGGTGACAGATGTGTCTTTCCAGCCAGGCAGAGTAAGACTCCCAGGCCATGGCTAAGAGCATTCTGAGATTTGCCAAGAAAGCAAATTTTTGCTGTTGAGTTTCTAGGGATATTATTTCTGAAAAATAATTACTGATCAGTAATAGACACCTTTGAAATTGTCTTTATTGAGATGTCTTCCAGGCATCCTTTCTTTTGCTCCCTGAAACCAGTCTTTAGTCTTAAATTCCTATTGCACTATAAAGAATGCCTGCCTTCCCTATTTACTGTGACCTCCATTGACTAGCCATCCAAAAAGTAGAAGCTCACACTAGTCAGGATGGTCAGGATTCATGGAGCATACTCTGTCTGAAGTGCTAGCTAGGCCATACTGTAAGAACAGCACCTTTTTTTTTTTTTTTTTTTTTTGTGCCTCCACTATTGGAAATAGATTTTAAGGGAGAGGGTGTTGATATTAGGAAACTGAGATCTTTAAAAACTACCAAGAAGACTCTAGAAAAGAGTATACAATTAATTTGATTTTTGTATTATTTTTGGAGAAGAATGGTGGACAGCAAGAAATAATATAAGGCCATTGATTATACTGGAAGAGCTTTAAAATGAATAAAAGAAACTTAAAAATAAGAAAAACTATTTTTAAGACATCTCATTTTAAAAAATTATTTCTAAGAGAGATAAAGAATACCATTTGTTTTTGTCTACTGCTTCTTTAGGATAGTAAATGACCAGCTACAGCGGTCACTTGATGAGTATCAGCGCCGACTTTCCTTAAAAAGAGGTGAACTTGAATCAGCCCAAGAACAAATTAAAATACTGGAGGGAAAAATAAGTAAGTGATTTAAATTTTGTCTTTGCTAATCATGATTTACTTTGTCTAACAAACATTTCTTTTCATTTATAGATGAACTAAACCTTAAGATGACTTCACAGAATGAGGCAGCTCATGTAATGAAAAAGACCATTGGTGTTATTGATAAAGAAAAAGACTTTCTTCAGGAAACTGTAGACGAGAAGACAGAAAAGCTTGCAGACTTGCAAGAAAACCTAGAAAATAAAGTATATAACTGTTAAATATCATTTTCCAATATCTGAATAGAGAGGATTATCTTATTCTGTTTCAGATTCATACGTAGTTCTTATCTCAAGACCTGGGGCATTTTATCTCAATAATTTGGATCTTCAAAATATGATTTTATCTATTGTTAGAATGTGATTTTATCAGATATTATTAAGCAAACTTTTTAAAGAAACCTTTCAAGTTCCTAGGGTGGGAAGAAACATGCCAATATGTGAAGTATAATTGAGACGTGGAAATATGTTTACTTGGAACTTTCTCTTTTATGCATAATTTTTTTTTAAATTTTATTATTGGTTGTTCAAAACATTACATAGTTCTTGACATATCATATTTCATACATTTGATTCAAGTGGGTTATGAACTCCCATTTTTACCCCATATACAGATTGCAGAATCACATCGATTACACATTTTATGCATAATTTATATAATTGAACTATGTACTTAACTATATAAATGTGACAAATTATATGAATCTAGCTAAAAACATTTCTATATGAATGATTTAGAATCTTATATATTTTTACAATTTCTGTAGGAGAAAGCTATTGCTCAGATGAAGAAAACTATCTCAGAGTATGAATTATCCAAGAAGTAAGTAATTAATCAGGTGACACACAGCTTTTTAAGAAATTTTTGGTGAATAGTTTTTATCTATTTAGTAGCCATCAGCAATAAGATAATTTCCCCATTTTTTGCCAGTGGCATCATTTTCTCAGTCTCCTGCTTGAGAATGTTATCCTCTTTAATTATTTCTTCCTGTCATCCATTTAAACATTTGTATCTTATTAATTATTCTTTAACATTTCCTACTTAACTCTGTTTTTACTATAATTACCTTGTTCAGTCTCTATTCATTACAATTCATTACCATTTTAAAATTTTAAAATGTTGATTACTTTAGTATGAATTTTGAATTTTTTCTCTATCTAAATTTATCTTGAACAGTTGCAAAATTTACATTTTATGTCTAGTCTCCCCAGAAAGAGTAAAAGGGGCTTAAAATCAAGTCACTCAGTATATTTATTTTACATACCTTTAATTTTATGTAATAGTGGGAGAGTAGGGCTGGGGTTGTGGCTCAGCAGTAGAGCACTTGTCTAGCACGTGTGAGTCCCTGGGTTCAATCCTTAGCACCACATATAAATAAATAAAAATAAAGGTGTTGTGTCTACTTACAACTTAAAAAAAATAGTGGAAGAGTAAACATTTAATAGATATTTGCCAATTGAATCTCTTATGTTTGGTTCTTAACACTTAGAGTAAACAGTTTGGTTCTGTATTTACTTGGTTTTTGGAATAATAAATCTGTTTTGTGGATTTATTTGCAGATATGACTGGTAGAGATCTAAAATACCTGCTTTACTTACTCAGTATCTTAATGAAGCAGTCTAGTTTCCTATATTCTTAGAATATTTAATTCAGACTACAGTAGTTTTCTTTTAAATGAACTACAATTTTCTAAAAAGCTTCATTATTTCCTCATTTAACAGCCAGCTAAAGGAAGCATTGACTAATCGAGAAAGGGAGATAAGCAGCCTTCGACGCCAGGTTGATGCATGTCACAAAGAACTTGATGAAGTGGGAAGAGCTAGAGAAATAGCTTTTAAGGAAAACAGACGATTACAAGATGATCTGAGTACAATGGCAAGAGAAAACCAAGTATGAACACACAGTGCATAAATGTTGGTGGTTTCAGAGTACCTATTTGTTGTTTGCTAAATGGTAAAGCAACATAGGTAATTTTTTAAGGAGAATTTCATCTATCGGGCTAATAAAAAAATGTAGTTTACCCTGCCATGATGGCACTTGCTTGTAGTCTCTCTTAATCAGGGGACTGAGGCAAGAGAATCACTTAAGCCCAGAAGTTCAACACCAGCCTAAACAACATAGAGAGGCTCTCTCCTTTCTGAAACAAACAAATTAATAAATTAATGGGTATTTTAAAATGTCAAGTGCTGAGAGAATTTTTATTATTGCTGGTTTATTAAAAGATTATACAAAGAGACCAATGATTTCCTGTTTTAAATACTCTGTTTTTTAAAAATTACTTTCAGGGGGCTGTGGCTGTGGCTCAGTGGTAGAGTGCCTGCTTTGCATGTGTGAGGCACTGGGTTTGATCCTCAGCACTACATAAAAATAAATAAATAAATATATTGTTTCCATCTACAACTAAAACATTTTTTTTAATTACTTTCAGTATTATTCATAAAGCATATTGCTGATATATGAATTTCTTTTTTTTTAAGTTGGTTGTGTTGTAATCGTTCTTTCTAGATATACATGGTAGTAGAGTATATTTTGACACATTATGCATACGTAGAGTAATTATAACTTGTTATAATTATTATGGTCATATGTGATGTGGAGTTATATTGTTTGTGTATTCATTTATAAGAATTCTGAATTTCTTAAAAAGGTCAAGCTCTAACCATAACTAGCCCTTAGTGTAAAAGTCAGATTACATGGTGAGGAATGTTATGGGAGATGTGTGGTAAAATTTGGTGTTTCTGGGCGGGGTTTGTGGCTCAGTGGTACAGTGCTCTCCTAGCATGTGTGAGGCTCTGAGCACCACTTAAAGATAAATAAATAAAGGTATTGTGTTCATCTTCAACTGAAAAAATATTTTTTTAAAAATTTGGTGTTTCTTACATCCAAGATCAGTCAGGAAATATATGTGACAATTACTTTTGCCCTATACTCTTATTCCAAAGAAACTATTTTTTTTTTTAAAGAGAGAGTGAGAGAGGAGAGAGAGAGAGAGAGAGAGAGAATTTTTAATATTTATTTTTTAGTTCTCGGCGGACACAACATCTTTGTTGGTATGTGGTGCTGAGGATTGAACCCGGGCCGCACGCATGCCAGACGAGCGCGCTACCGCCTGAGCCACATTCCCAGCCCCCAAAGAAACTATTTGAATATAAATAGAACTCATTTGGTACCGTGTTCACTTTAGATTTGTATTCAATTTCTGATTTATAGGCAATCTCATTGGAATTGGAAGCAGCAATGCAAGAAAAGGAAGAAATGAAGAGTAGAGTGCATAATTATATAACTGAGGTGTCACGATGTGAGAGTTTAATGGCTGCTAAGGTGAAAAACATTGTTTATGTTGGATTTCACACTGATTTTTTTTAAAAACTTTTTCATGTTTGTCTGTTTTGTCCATACTATTATTTGTTAAACAGTTGAGAGTTAAGACCTTACCTTCTTTTTATATTTTCCCATAGATTTTAGTATAGTACACAGATATCTGATGCTCCCAAATTTAGAACAGAATTCCTAGTGTGTATGTGTGTTCCAATTAGTGACAGTTAACTAATTTAGAAACAATTTAATTATGTTTAAAACAGGAACAAGAAAATCAAGATTTGTTAGATAGATTTCAGATGCTTCATAGCCGTGCTGAAGACTGGGAAGTCAAAGCCCATCAAGCAGAAGGAGAAAGCAGCTCAGTTCGACTGGAACTTCTCTCTATTGATACAGAAAGGAGACACCTTCGAGAAAGAGTCGAGCTACTAGAAAAAGAAATTCAGGAGGTAATAACATTCATTGGTCTAGTAAAAGCAGTATTTAGTAAAACAAAACATTCAAAGATACATTATTAAGGTGAGGTTATAAATATTTGTCATTAATTCTGATGACTTTCATAGGAACCCCATTACTTTTTTTACTATAGTAAAAGATGATAATGTCAAATTCACCATTTCAACCTTTTTTTTGGGGGGGGGGTACCAGGGATTGAACCCAGGGGCTCTTAACCACTGAGCCATATCCCCAGCCCTTTTTATTTTTTATATTGAGACAGGGTCTCTTTAAGTTGCTTAGGACCTTACTAAGTTGCTGAGATTGATTTTGAAATTGCAGTCCTCCTGCCTCAGCCTCTAGAGTCACTGGGATTACAGGTATGGACCACCAAACCCAGCCATTTTAACCATTTTTAAATGTATAGTTTTATGGCATTAAAGTACATTCACAGATTTGTACACCTATCATCATCATCTGTCTCCCCTTCTCCGGCTGAAACTCTGTACCCACAAAACACTAATCCCCCATTATTCCCTACCCTCAGCCCCTGGCAACTACCATTCTCCTTTCTGTTTGTATGAATTTGACAACATTTTAGGTCCCTTGTGTAAGTGTAATGATGTATTTGTCCTTTTGTGCCTAGCTTATTCCACTTAGCCTTGAGATTTACTTTATCACAAGATCATCCATGTGGTAGCATGGTATCAGAATTTCACTTAATTTTAAGCCTGAATGGGTTTACAAATATCTGTTTAAATTCTTTCTTTTAATTCTTTTGGGTATATACTCAGAAGTAGAATTGCTAGATCATATGGTAATTTTATGTTTACCTGTTAAGGAACAACCAAGGGTTTTCCATAAGGCTACAACATTTTGCATTTCTACTAGCAGTACTAGGATTCTAATTTATCCATTCTAATACTTATTATTTTCTTTCTTTTTAAAATTTCACTCTCATTAGGATGACTATTACTAAAATAGTCATCCTAATGAGAGTGAAGCTATATTTTGTTGTGCTTTTGATTTGCATTTTTTTTTTCTTTAAGTGCTGAGGATTGAGCTCAGGGTCTCATGCATCTGTGCAAGCACTCTACCTCTGAGCTACTCCCACAGCTCTATATTGTCTTATTGAGCATCTTTTCATGTGCTTACTGACCATTTGTATGTCTTTGGAGAAATGCCTATTTAAATATTTGTCCATTTTTAAATCAGTTTTTGTTCTTGTTGACTTACAGGAGTCCTTTATATATTTTGAAGAAATATGTGATTACAAAATATGTGATTTGCAGATATTTCTTTTTGGTTATTTTTTACTTCATTGATAGGTTGGTTTTTTAATGACTTACCTATTTAGGGGGTGCAAGATGATAATTCGATACATGTATACAATTATCAAATCAGGGTAATTGGAATTTCTATCTCCTGAAATATTATCATTTCTGTTGGAACCATTTCTTCTCTAATTATTTTAAAATATAAAATAATTGCTATAGATTATTATAATAACACTGTGTACTATAGAATATTAGAACCAATTCCTCCTATCTTCTAGTATTTTGTTATCCATTATCCGACCTTTCTCTCTTCCTATCCTTCCTAGCCTCTATCGATCACTGTTTTATTTACTTCGATGAGATCAACTTCTTAAATTTTCACCAATGAGTGAAAACATGTGGTATTTGTCTTTCTGTGCCTAGCGATTTCATTTAATATAATTTCCTCCAGTTCCATCCATATTGCTGCAAATGAGAGGGTTTCAAACTTTTCTATGGCTGAATAATATTCCATATATATATATAATTGATTTATCCATTTATCCATCAGTGGATACTCTGTTGATTCCATATCTTGGTTATTATGAATAGTGGTATAATAAATATGGGTTTACAAATATTTCTTTGATGTAATGATTTAATTTCCTTTTGATATTTTCCCAGTAGTGGGATTATTGGATCATATAGTAGTTCTGTTTTCAGTTTTTTGAGGAACCTTCATTTTATTTTCCATAATGTCTGTACTTACTTATATTCCCATTAACAGTTACAAGTTCCCCTTTCTCTATATCCTCACCACCATGATGTGTTTTTGTTTTTTTGTCTCTCTGGTAATAGTCATTTTTTCATATACTATGGGCTGAGTGTAAGTTTTCTTGAGAAATACGTGTTTAGATCTTTTGTCCATTTTTAAATTGAATTATTTAGGTGGATTTTTTTAAAGAATATTTTTAGTTGTAGATGGACACAATACCTTTATTTTATTTATTTATTTTTATGTGATGCTGAGGATAAACCCAGTGCCTCACGCGTGCCAGGCAAGTGCTCTACCACTGAGCTACAACCCCAGCCCCATTTTTTGTTGTTGTTTTTTCATTTTCTTTTCTTACTATTGAGTGTTTGATTCCTCATATATTCTGGATATTAATCACTTGTCAGAAGGATAGTTTGAAAATACTTTCTCCCATTCTTCAAATTGTCTCTTCACTCTGTTGGTTGGTTGTTTTGCTCTGCAAAAACTTCTTAGTTTGACATTATTCTGTTTATCTAATTTTGCTTTGTTTGCCTGTGTTTTAGGGGTCTAGTTATCTAAGAAATCTTTGCCTAAACCAACAACTAAAGTTTTTTTTTTCTGTTTTCTTCTAGTAGTTTCATAGTTTCAGATTTTACATTTAGATCCTTTATCTGACTTTTTGATGCCTAAAAGACTTTAATTTTGATGAAGTTCAATTTATCTATTTTTTCCCATTTCCTCCTCCCTTTCTCCTTCCTTCCTTCCTTTCCTTTTTTCCTTATTTATTTATTGCAGTATTGGGAATTGAACCCAGGATCATTCTACCACAGAGTTACATCCCTAGCTCTTTATATTTTATTTTTTATATTAAAAAAAGAGACATTCTTGCTACATTGCTGAGACTGAACTTGAACTTGTGATCCTCCTGCGTACCTGGGATTATACACATGTACCACTGGGCTTGACTATGCTTTTCGTTTGTTGCTTATAATTTTGGTGTCATGTCCAAGAAATCATTCCTGAATTCCATGTCATATATAAGGCTTTTCCTTTAATTTTTCTTCAAAGAATTTTACAGCTTTAGATCTTAAGTTTAGGTCTTTGATCCATTTTGAGTTAATTTTTGTATATAATATATGATATACATCCAATATCATTCTTGCATGTAGATTTAAATAAACTTTTGTCATAAAGACAGTCTAAGCCAGGTAGGCATGGTCACATACACTTGTAATCCCAGCTACTTAAGTAGTTGAGCAGAGGGATTGAGTTTGAGGCTAACCTAGGCAATGTAGCAAGGTACCATGTCAAAACAAAACTAAAAGGACTGGGGGTGTATCTCAATGGTAGAGTGCTTGCCTAGAATGTTTGAGGCCCTAGTTTCAATCCCCAGTACTGCACTCCCCACCCCCACCCCCAAAATAAAAACAGACAAAAATCTGATAATAATAATTTTGGATTCATTTAAACTACAAGGACTCTTGAGTTAGATAAATGTAGACTAGTTTATATTTTGTTTTGTTGATATAGTTTTTAAAGTTTTCTTATTTCAGGAGAAAGGATAGCTCTCTGTAAAGGATAGGGTTAAAATGTCTAAAAGGCATGTTTAATTCCTAAATCCCAGTCTCTTACCTGGAAATAATATATTTGCAGATATAATCAAGTTAAAAGGAAGTCATACTAGACTAGATTAGAAGCTTAACCAAGGACCAGTGTCCTTATAAAATAAAGGAGATTTGGACATATGAAGGCAGACGTGAGGAGATTGGAGTGATACATCTCCAAGTTAATACTAAGAATTGCCAGTATCCACTAGAACCTAGGAGACTGACATGGAGCATATACTGCTTCAGAGTCTCCATACTGAACCAACTCTGCCTACACCTGAATTTTGGACTACCAGCTTCTAGAACTATAAGAGAATACATTTCTGTTGTTAAAAGTCACTCAGTTTGTAGCAATTAAAGAAGTCCTGGGAAACAAATACAGATTTTGGTGCCAGGAAATATATCGCTGCTATAACATCTAAAAGTATGAAAGTAGCTCTGGGATTGAGTAATGGGTAGAGACTGAAAGAGTTTTGAGGTATTTAACAGAAAAAAGCCTAGATTGTCTTGAAGAATATGGCTGCTCTGGTGAGAACTTCTGTCGTTTATAGAATACATGAAGGCTCAAATTGAATTAAGGAAGATGTTATTAGATTCTGAAAAAGAGGTGAATCTTGTTATAAAGTGTCAGAGAACTTGACAAACTTATGGTTTACTATTGGGAAGGAAATCAAACTTGGAAGTATTGAACTTGGACATTTAACTGAGGAGATTTCCAAGCAAAGTATGGAAGGGGCTACCTAATTTTTCCTTGCTGCTTACAGTAAAATTTGTGACAGGAAAAGTAGAAATTGAAGAAGGAACTACTAAGCAAAAAAGGAACCAAAGCTTAATGATTTTGAAATAATACTTAGGCTGTCCAGGTAAGTATTCTCTGGAGAAAGGATCAAGAGTGTAAGCTAGACAAAATTTTTGATGGAGAAAGTAGGTATGTGACTCAGTAATCTCAACAGAAATGTTACCAGCTTTGAAAAGGTCAGAAATGGAACAAAATTAAGAAAGGCTATTGGACTTCTGGGATCTCACTGATATAAAATGGCTGCAAACATATGTTCACCTTTAAGAAAAGGGAAGAATCAGCTGGGTGAGATAGTACATGCCTGTAATCCCAGTGGCTTAGGAGGCTGAGGCAGGAGGATCACAAGTTCAAAGCCAGCCTCAGTGACTTAGCAAGGCCTTAAGCAATTTAGCAAGACCCTGTCTCTAAATAAAATATTAAAAGGGCTAGGGATGTGGCTCAGTGTTTAAGTGTACCTGGATTCAATCCCTAGTACCAAAAGAAAAAAGAAAAAAAAGAAAGGAAAGGAAAAATGACTCTTAAGGATGGCTGAAAGCCCAGCAGAGCTGCCAAGGGCAACACAGAGGCTGGTGTGGCTTCTGCTGTGACCACAAATCTAGTGGGCATTGACCAAGGGGATGGGGCCACTGTCTCCTTAATTCCAGAGGGCAGGGCCACCACCCCTGAGGGCCAATAGGGTGGGACTGCTCTGGCAGACCTAGAAAAAAGAACATCAGAGCCACAGATGGTGATTATTGGACATTGAAGTGTGATGTTTCCAAGCTTACTTTGGATTTATTCCTTCTATACTTTCCCCTTTTGGAATAGGACTGTCTGTTCTGTACCTGTACCACCATTGTAGTTTGGAAACAGATGACTTATTTTCTATTATCTTAGTGTGTAGATGGAGAGGAATTTTGCCCCAAGTTGGACCATACTCAGTCTCACCCATAACTGATTCAGATGTCTCAATGAGATTTTGAACTTAAATTGATGCTAGAATGTTTTGTTGGTTTTTGTTTTGTTTTGTAATGGAGTAGATATTTTGTACATGAAAAGCACATGAATTTGGGGGGCCAGAGAGTAGGTAGGATTGTGTTTGTCAAAAAGATACAATGAAGCCGGATATGGTGGTGCATACCTGTAATCCCAGTGACTCTGAAGGCTGAGGCAGAAGGATCTCAAGTTCAAAGCCAGCCTCAGCAAAAGTGAGGTGCTAAGCAACTCAGTGAGACCCTATCTCTAAATAAAACACAAAAACAGGGCTGGGGATGTGGCTCAGTGGTTGAGTGCCCCTGAGTTCAATCCCTGGTCCCTGTTTCCCCCCCTCATCCCACCACAGAATACAATGAATTCCTAACTCCCAGTACCTATAAATGTGACCTTATTTGGAAATAGGGTCTTCGCAATACATTCAAATTCAGGTGAGATTATTGCTGCATTAGGGCAGGCTGTCACCTAATAAATGACTATTGTCCTTATGAGAGAGAAATGGACACAGACAACACAGACGACTTTGTATGAAGATAAAGGTAGAGATTTTGGATGAAATGTCTACACGGCAGTGTGCACCAAGTATCGTCACAACCACCAGAAGCTAGGAAAGAGGCATGAACAAATTTTGCTTCAGAGTCTCCAGGAGTCAACTCCATTAAATGAAATGTGGACTTCTGGCCTCCAGATCTGTGTGGGAATAAATTGGTTTACCATGATTTGATAGTGGAAGCCCTAGGAAACTAATATACTATCTCTACACGTTCTATTAAGAAGAGTATAGTGGGCTGGGAATGTGGCTCAGGCGGTAGCGCGCTCGCCTGGCATGCGTGCGGCCTGGGTTCGATCCTCAGCACCACATACCAACAAAGATGTTGTGTCCGCTGAGAACTAAAAAATAAATATTAAAAATTCTCTCTCTCTCTTAAAAAAAAAAAAAGAAGAAGAGTATAGTAACTAAAGGAATGCTTTTCAACCCCCCAAAAGAATTTCTCAGAAGATATTTTTTTTATTCTTTGTCATTGTTTTTATTGGCTTTTTATATTTGACTTGTTTGGGGAAATTTTTATTTACTGAATGTGTTAATATTTGAAAATTCAAATGTTTACTTTTCTGTACCTATTGATATTTATTAAATCTTCATAGCATAACATTAGATTTTTAATGTTGATTCATTTCAGTGACATCTGTTTAAAATCATTTTTCAAATGTGGAGTCTTCCCAAAACATAAAATTAGTTTGTATTTAAATTTAAATTGTGAGAAATTTAAAATGTGGATTATTCTGGGTAGAATGTTTTATCAGTATTTCAATTTTGGTCATTTCAAAGTTATTAAAATCTTATAAAATTATGTATTTAAATCAAAAGGAATTGGGGCTGGGGTTATGGCTCAGTGGTAGAGCTCTTTTTTTTTTTTTAATATTTATTTATTTATTTATTTATTTATTTTAGTTCTCGGCGGACACAACATCTTTGTTGGTATGCGGTGCTGAGGATCAAACCCGCGCCGCACGCATGGCAGGCGAGCGCACTACCGCTTGAGCCACATCCCCAGCCCCAAGAGCTCTTGCCTAGCACATGTGAGACACTAGGTTTGATTCTCAGCACCACATAAAAATAAATAAATTAAATAAAAATATTGTGTTCATCTACAACTAAAAAATATTTTTAAAAAAGAAATTAAGGGCTGGAGATGTGGCTCAGCGGTAGCGCGCTCACCTGGCATGCGTGCGACCCGGGTTGGATCCTCAGCACCACATACCAACAAAGATGTTGTGTCCGCCGAGAACTAAAAAATAAATATTAAAAAAATTCTCTCTCTCTCTCTCTCTCTCTCTCTCTCTCTCTCCTCTCTCACTCTCTTTAAAAAAAAAAAAAAAAGAAAGAAATTAAAATCATTCTTTTTCTGAGGTATTTAATTTTAAAGTAAACCCTGTTTTTTCACATTGATGTTTGGGGAATGATAAGTATATATGTTACTTTTCAAGGAAAAGGCAATATTATAGCATAAAAGGAAAAATTTATATAACTTATAAGAATCCCTGATATTTGCAACACCCTGACAATAATTTTCATATTTACACCTTCCAAATATATACATGAGGTACTTAGTTATCATGATTAATAATTATACTTAATTCCTTTTATGCATTGAATAGCAGACTGCTTCCTGGGAATGTTTTAAAATATGCAAAAATTGGCTGTCACATTTTTCTAAAGTGAAGTTGTAGCTGTACAGAGTCAGTCCCTTTAAATTACTGAATTTTTTTTTTTGCCTATTTTGTTTTCTTTCTTCAGCACGTAAATGCACATCATGCTTATGAATCTCAAATCTCATCAATGGCAAAAGCCATGTCTAGATTAGAAGACGAGCTGAGACATCAAGAAAATGAGAAAGCAGCAGTATTAAGTGACTTGTCTTCTCTTAGGGAACTTTGCATTAAACTTGATTCAGGCAAAGATGTTATGACCCAACAATTGAATTCCAAAAGCCTTGACTTGGAGAGGGTAAGAACTAAAGAGAAGTTGTCTTGGCGCATTGTTTTCTGGAGTCCTAATCTAATTGTTTTACTTTATTTATTTATTTATTTATTTTTGCATTATAATTCTTAATACACCATTATATCATAATTTATCATATCCTGATTATATATTATATATTTCAGGTATGTTGACACCAAATTCACATCTTCATACATGTATTTTGTATAGTGATGAGGGTCTCCTTTCACCATCCATGCTATTCCCCTTCACCCTCCCTTTCCCTCCCATCACTATTCCCTATCTAGAGGTAATCTTCCTCCCTTGCTCTCCCTCCCAACCTCATTTTGAGTCACCCCTTATATCAAAGAAGACATTCAGCATTTGTTTTTTGGGGATTGGCTAACTCTAGTTGTTTTACTTTGCCATTTACTACCCAATATATTTGTTCCCCTTCATAGCAGTTACTTTTGATGACAGGATGTTGTTTTGGGTTTTTTGTTTGTTTGTTTTTGAGACAGGATCTCACTAAATTGCTTAGGGTCTTGGTAAGGCTGGCCTTGAATTTGTGATCCTCCTGCCTTGGCCTCTTGAGTTACTGGGGATTATAGGTGTGAGCCACCATACCCACCTGATGATAGAATGTTGACTCCAGGATTCTTTACCAAGTTTTCTTTGGCCAACATGTTAATCAAATTAGATGTTCTCTGTTTTGGAATGGGTGGGTGCTTAGAGATTATGAATTTTCTCACTATAGATTAGAAACATATCCCAATTTTTCTTTGTTTAAAGTTAGACTTCAACAAAAGATTGAGTAATTCATTGCTTCCTAAGTGAAATATTTTTTCTGATAAAAATCTCAAGGCATTTAAGTCTTCATTTAATTAACAAATTTACTTTGCTAAAATTTCCCATTCCAAACCAAGGTGTTACTTTAAATACCCTAGGATATGTTTTCAAACATGAGTGTTCTCAATTTTTACTCATCTAGTAGTGTGTTTTCAGGTTCTCAAAGTGACACTACTGGTTTGACTATGTAGTTAGTATATTTGGTATACCAGAGGACCTCATGCTGATGGTGCGGGTATATTTTAGGATTTTATGTTAAAGACCCTCTGTTGACAACGAAATATGAGTGAGAACTGCTTGAGGGTTGGAGAATATCTTTTAACTAAATAAGTCCTTAGAGTAGCGAAGATTATTTTAAAATGAGATGTTCTTATAATTGAAAAAAATGGTTTAAAATATTTAACCAATACCCCAAATGAAGCAAAGGATGGGTAAATAGTTCTGCAGAGCTATATTGTCAGATAATTTTTCAAAGTCTAAAATTATACTGAATTAATCTTTGCTTTTCCGTAGGCTGTGGTAGAATTAGAAAATATGAAGTCAGAATCAGAGCTGTTAAAAAAACAACTGTCAAGTGAGAGACACACGATTAAAAACCTTGAATCATTGTTGGCTACAAATAGAGATAAAGAATTTCATACTCATTTAACCTCTCACGAGAAGGATACAGAAATTCAGCTACTTAAGGAGAAGTTAACCCTTTCAGAAAGCAAAGTGTAAGTGTCATAAATCAACCTAGATGAGAAAAATACTTGTTAAATATAATTTTTTTAATTTGGGGGAAGAAGAGTAAAGTGTGAGAGTGTGAATGGTGGTACGAAACCAAAATATTTGATGTATCTGTCTCCTGCTTTGGAAATTCAGAAGAGTAGCTCAGGGGAGATTATGTTTAGAAATGTAGGCTTGGGTATCTTCACTGCCAAGGTGGTACCTGGTGAGAGTGAGCCCAAATGTGAGGAATAAAGAGAGGAGTCAGTGGAGGAAAGAGTGTGTCGGGACAGGAAGATGGGTCTGTGTCTCAAAGACAAAAAAGAAGGGATTTGATACTTGTTAAGTGCATTGATTACTGTTGGGGAGACTGATAATGACCTCATTTTAGAAGGAAAGTTTTGGGCATGTTTGTTGGGAGAGGGGAGGAAATCCAGAGTTGAGAGTGCAAGTAGAAGAATGGGCTTTTAAAATAAGTTTAAAATCTTTTCGTGAGGCAAGAAGCAAGAAAGAGCCAATGAAGATACTTTTTGTCTTGGGTTATAGTTTATGTGTTGTTCAAATTTGTTTTCCAGCACTTACTGCGGTACCTGACAGATATTAGAAGCTCAGTAAATGAAAAGTAAACTAAATGAATGAAAAAAAAAAAAAACCTTTGTGTTACAAGTTTAGAGAATTATTATAGAAAAGTCTTGATCTTATATTTTCCTGTCCTTAAGAATCACCTCCATTTGTGTTTATTGATTTTAGAAAAAAAACCTATAGCACTTGACTCAACAAAATGAAACTTTTGTTTTTTATTTCTGTGATCTTTAAATTTATTTTTAAGAACTAGTCAAAGCCGGGAAAATGCCATGCTCCGATCTAAAGTGACACAATTACAAACAGATTATGATACTATGAAAAGGCAGATTTCAACTGAAAGATATGAACGGTAAGAAAATAATTTTAAGTCCCAGTGAGGTTTTTTTGTGGTTGTTGTTTTGAGGTTTTTTGTTTTGTTTTGTTTTGGTACCAGGGTTGAATTCAAGGGCACTCCACCACTGAGCCACATCCCCAGCCCTAGTTTGTATTTTATTTAAAGACAAAGTCTCATTGAGTTGCTCAGCACCTCTCTTTTGCTGAGGCTGGCAATCAGCCATCCTCCTTCATCAGCCCTCTGAACCGCTGGAATTACAGGTGTGCGCTCTCGAACCCAGTTAGCACCAGTGCTTTTATGTATTCTCTGTTCTTCTCCAAAAAGGATTTAATATGGCTTGCAAACAACAAATTTTGTTATCACGTTAATATATAAAGTAAACTCCCTTGGTAATTCTTCCTAAAAAGGCAACAAGTAATGTGAAAGATAACAACCTGCAGTAAATAAAATAGCAAATGTTGTATTATTGTTTCCTGTAGTGTTCCACAGGGCAAAAGAAGAGCAGTATTTCAGAGGGTATAGATAGTCAACAGCAACCCCTCCAAGAGCCCCCTAAGTATAGTCCAGGTTGAATAATTACTAATCATGAATGTGATGATGATCATCATCATAAGAGCAATTAACAAATGTTTGCAGGCCACTATGTGTGTGTCTGTTAATCCTACTAACTGCCTTTTATAGCAAACTGGTTTACACAGTTGTAAGTGACAGAGCCAACACTAAAATGCAGGAGTATTGGTCCAATTCTAAAGACTGTGCTCTTAAGCTCTACAATTTATATTCCTTACATCTTAATCATTTTCATACTCCTATTTTGGTTCATTTGCTTTATGTTGAAAAATTCAATCCCCAAATGTTATATAAACAAATGAGATCTGCTTTAAGAATTAAAATCAGTATTAACTTGTGTATACTAAAATTTCAAGGGTAACAGGATAATCTGAGGGAGAAAAGTCTAAGAAAATTCCTTTGAGAGAATAGTGATGAAAAAAGTTTGAGAAACACTGAGCTAGGTGGAAATCCTGGATACCAAAGAACTCAAGGCATAGACTTGAGGTCTTGGCCACAGACTCTGAATAGCCCACAAAGGAAATGACAGCATAATCATGATGCTTGCTGGGGGGTGGGGGTGGAGGGGGCAAACCCAGAATCAGAGAAAATTTCATTTCTGACAATGGGAATTCTGAGGCAGGAAGAAGGAAGAGGGCTAGATTTGTGTGCATTGAGAGATGGGAAAGGAAGCCACTGAGGAGGAAACAGCTTGGAAGCTCTTTCCTCTGAGGAGCAAGCATAGTCCTAGGGCTTAAGTGAGAAATTAGTGAAGTGCAGATAATATATGATTTCCCTTACACAAAAGTTTAAATGGTTGTTTTTTAAAGTAATGAGAAGGTTGGGTTTATATACCTAAAAACAGGAGGTAATTTGCCATGTAAGGGTGATCTGATAGACTGGAACTGAATATATTTTAGTGTTCCTGTCCTTCTGAATTCATCTTATAGTAGTTCATTATAAGATAAAAAAAAGAACTTGTTATTATGGAGTATGCCCCTTCACGATAGACTTGATATCATTGTTTCCATTATAGGCTAGGCACTATACCACCTGCTAAGAATACCAATTAAATAGGGAACTCAGATGAATAACTGATTCTCTGGGAGCCCATTATAATGAGACACACTTGTATATAGACATTATGTATTGCAGGTATAGAAGTGAGTATAGGATTTGATTGACCCACTGGGAAATGAAATCTGTCCTAGCCTACATCAGTAAGCAAGGGTCAATTTAGGGTATGTTGGAGGTGTTGGGTACCTGTGGAATGTGTTTGTCTGTAAATCTTACTAACAGCCTTTTTTGCCTATATTATAGCAACCTGTGGTCACACGGTTGTAAGTGACAGAGCCAACACTAAAATGCAGGAGTATTGGTCCAATTCTAAAGACTGTGCTCAACAGTTTATATTCCTTATACCTTAGTCATTTTCATACTACTATTTTGGTTCATCCTCTTTATGTTGAAAAATTCAATCCCCAAATGTTATAAACATATGAGATCTGCTTTAAGAATTAAAATCAGTATTAACTTGTGTGCACTAATGTGTGGAATATCCAACAGAAACTTGTATGTGGATCCAAAGCATAGGAGAGTACTGGCACATAAAAGCTTAGGAAAAGAGAATGTAAACCTAGCCCAAAGAGCACCACCATGTGAAATATAGGCAGAAGAAAAGGATTCAGTAAAAGAACTGAAAAATGAATGTGTAGGTTAGAAGGAGAATCAGGAGATGGTAGTGTCAGGAAAGCCAAGAGTGGTTAACAAATCCCACAGAAAGGTCAAGTCATAACTTCTCCCTTCCACTATTAGCATTTTTAGTCATGTATTTGTGTATGTGCCTATGTGTGTCTGTCTGAATGTAAACTTAGTATTCTTTTTTTGGTAACTATTTCATGAGCATTCTATTTCTAAAATATTATTTTAATGATATCCTATTAATACAACATGATTATAGTATAATTGCTTTGAAAGTCTCTTACAATGCATATTATTTTTAATTGAAATATTTTACCTAGTGCTTAAAAATCCTACAAAGACATAGGATTCAAATTTAGTAGAAATGCTAGGGCAAGGCGCAGTGGTGTAGTCTCACCTATTTGGGAGTCTGAGGTGGAAGGATCACTTGAACCCACAAGTTCAAGACCAGCCTAGGCATCATACTGCAGGACCAAACAAAAATAAAATAAAATAAATTTAATAGAAATACTAATTAATTAGGGATAGGGATATAGCAGAGTGGTAGAGCACTTGCCTAGCATGTGGATTCAAATATGGATTGCCTAGCTTCCTGGATTCATTCTCCACGACCACAAAAAAAAAAAAAAAAAAGAAGAAGAAAGCATCAATTAATTAAAAACACCAAAAGCATCTGATGTTTGCATGTGCCACTTTTTGAGTTTTCATAGTGCTTGAATATAATCTGTCTTATTTGATCTTTTCCCACAGAGAACGAGCAGTCCAAGAGATGCGTCGACATGGTCTTCCTACACCACCCCTTAGTTCTACTCTGAAGTCTCCTTTACAGTCTCCTGAACATATAAGTGTATAGTTATTAGAAAAGTAGGTATCTAACACTAAGGTCAGGCAAAACTTATCTAGGTTGTAAAAATTCAGGTAGTTTTCTTTGTCACGGGAGAGGAGATTGCCTGGAAAGGTGTTCAGGGGGAGCTTCCTGGAATAATAGGAAATATTCTGTTTTGGTGGGGGTGGTTCTATCAGTATCTACAATTGCACTCATTAAACCAAACATTCATGGCACATGCATTTTATTTTATGTCATATAGCTCAGTGGTAGATTACTTACCTTGCATGCACAAGGTCCTGTGTTTAATCCCTACCACAGCAAAAAATAGAGATAAACAAAGCAGCAAAAATGCAAGATAATAATATGAGGCATTATAGGAAGGTATTTGATAAAGTACAACATTCAAGATGCTAATAGTAACTGGTAGAAGTGTACGCAAAGGCACATAATTGTACGTGGCATGGTATATTCACCTTGGCTGGAATGTCTGGTTGTGGAGAGATAATGAGGGAGGAGGAAAGTTTGGAAAGTAGAGTCAGAGTATACGAAGTATATTGAAGACTAGAGATTGTAGACTTTATTCTGTAAGTCAGGGGAGCCATTAAAGGTCCTTCTGTCTATAAAATGGGTACCAAAAAGGGGATAAGATATAAGAATTAGGGCTGGGGTTGTGACTTAGAGGTAGAGTGCTTACCTAGCACGCATGAGGCCCTGGGTTGGATCCTCAGCACCACATAAAAATAAGTAAGTGAAATAAAAGTATTATGTCCAACTACAACTAAAAAAATAAATATTTTTTTAAAAAAGATATAAGAATTGTTTTTAGTGGATTAACGTCACAGCCATGTTTGAGCCATATTGGAAAGGATAGAAACTAGAGGTAAGGAGATATGTCAGAGGTTTGAAAAAGATTAGTGAAACCAGTTTAGAATCAGTATTGTAACATTGAAAGCTAGGGTAGAATTTTTAAAGTAAATTGTAACATACTTAGAACAAGACACCATATCAATACAGCTCAATGAATTTTCAAACTGAGCCTACCTAACTCAGATCAACAAACAAAATATTACCTCTTGTACTGTCTTATAGGCACTAGCTCTGCTCTAAAAGTGTCTTCACTGTCACATATATTCTTTTTGCCTGTTTTGGACACTTTATAAATGAAAACATAGATTTCTGGCTTCTTCTCCTCAACAAAATATTTGTGAGATTTGTCCATCCAGTTATGTGAACTTGTAAATCATTCAGTCTTGTTGCTGTAGAATGAAATACCCTTCTGTGAACTTGCCACAGTTCATTTATTCATTCTGACACTGGTATAGTTCCCAGCATGGACTTTTATGAAGTGCTCTGGGTATACCTCTTAGGGTAAAATTGTTGGCTCACTGAATATGCATATGCTCAAACTTTAGTAGTTATGGCAAAACTATTTTCCAAAGTAGTTGTAAAGACAAGTGAGGATACATTTGACTGAGGGTCAAAGGGATATGCTAATTCATTGGAAATTGGAATGAATGGGAAAGAAGCATGAGTCAGATCCAGAGTTTGACAAGTAGTGACTGTGAATAATGCAGACTCATTGACAAAAATAGTTACATCAGTCTTTTTTAAGTTGATGTGTTTGTTTGCCTCCTTTTAATAGAAGTACTATATGTAGAAGATAATTGATATTTGCTTGAGGACTCAGAATCCTTATTATGAACTTAGTTATGTGCTGTGCTTTAACATAACATGCTGACACCCCTGTGTTTGTAGGGCCTAGGTTTAAATAATTCCTGATTGATTGCCTTTATGTTTATTTGGTTAAAACATTTATTTTCCTCTCTCACTCATTCTGAGTTCTGTGTTCCCACAACTTCTAAGTTGCTGTGTTACTTTGAATGTGGTTAGGTGACAGTTCACCTTCTTACTATAAAGCATTGTACAGTGTGATAGATGTTTTCTCATGCTTGATTGACAGTTATAATTTTGATTAGAAGCTGGCAACCTAGAGTCTGCAGCCCAAATCCATCCCACTGCCTGCTTTTGTAAATTAAGCTTTATTAATGCATAGCCATGGTTTACAAACTGAGAATACTTTTCTCCAGCAGCAGCGTTGAGTAGTTGTGATAGAACCTATGACCTACAAGTCTAAATTTACACCCTAGCCTTTCACATCATGTCACCTCTGGGAACTCACTCATAACCTGTGAGGACATAATCATGAAAAGGCAAATAATTCCTCTACAAGGCCTGCCCTCGTAAACCCCCTAAAAGAATCTTGGGAAATCTCAAGAATCCACAGACTTTCAGAACCACTGATAGAGAACATGGTGGAATCTTGCAATTCCTCAAGCTGAGATCAATTAGAAAACTTTTTTTTTTAAATGGCTATAAAACATAACATGAATTTTCCCATTTTAACTTTTTTTATATTTTTTAGTTTTAGGTGGACACAATATCTTTATTTTTATGTGGTGCTGAGAATCGAACCTAGTGCCTCATGCATACTAGGCAAGTGCACTACCACTTGAGCCACATCCCCAGCCCCATCCATTTTAACTTTTTTAAGTATATAACTCAGTGGAATTAATTACCTTCACAATGCTATTTGGCCATCACCATTTCTAAAACCTTTTAGAAATTCCCGTACTCATTAAGCAGTAACTCTTTACTTTTTTACATCTTCACTTTCTCAGCCCCTGGTAACTTCTAACCTACTTTGCTATCTCTATGAATCTACCTATTGTAAATTTTTATATAACTGAAATAATACAACATTTTCCTTTATGCCTGGCTTATTCTGCTTAGGATGTTTTCAAGGTTCATCCATCTTACAGGATACCACATTTTATTTTTACCTTTTAATCAGTGTTTCTACATTATGGCTATTGTAAATAATGTTGCTGTGCACATTGGTGTGCTAGTGTCTGTTTTTCTTCATTTTCAAATTTCTTGGAGTATACCCAAGAGTAGAATTGCTGGTTTACACAATAACTCTGTTTAACCTCCTAGGAGCTGCCAAACTGTTTCTCACATTGCTGCACTATTTTATGTTCCCATGATCACTGTACAAAGGTTTCCTTTCTCCACAGTCTCATTAATACTTGTTGTTTTTTTCCTTTTAACTGTCCTATTGCATGTGGATTAGAAAACTTTCACAACCGTTAACAAATTCACAGTTTTAAATTATGTAATAATTCACAATTGGTTTTCATAGTATCCTAATGAGATTTTTGATTAGTAATCCATTCTTATTCACATTTTCTAAATATTGTCACCAAAACTAATTTTAAAGAATTCCCCCATGTGCACTCAGAATTGAAGTGCTCGGCCATGAAATGATTTTTTAGACTATTGTTTCTCTTAAGTAATTAAGATATTGTAATTTTCTTACTTTTTTGACTATTGTATCTGATACATGATTTTTTTGAGAATTTTTTAATATTTATTTTTTTAGTTTTCGGTGGATTCAACATCTTTATTTTATTTGTATGTGGTGCTGAGGTTCGAACCCAGCGCCCCGCGCATGCCAGGTGAGCACACTACCGCTTGAGCCACATCCCCAGCCCTGATACATGATTTTTAAAAAGTATTTCTTAGTTGTCAATGGACCTTTATTTTATTTATTTATATCCAGTGCTGAGAATCGAACCCAGTGCCTCACACATGCTAGGCAAGCACTCTACCACTGAGCCCCAGCCCCAGCCACTGGTATATGATATTTGAGATAGAAAAAAACTAAAATATTTTTCTTACTTTTATACACTCTCAGCACAACACTTTTGACACCACGTTCTCTGTTGTACACTACCTGGGTGTCTTGTCATTTCCTTCTTACTCTTTTTACCTGGAAATAGTGTCAGATCCCATTGGGAAGAAGTTCGGTCCCACAAGATTCCTTTCTCCCACTTTAGATACCAGTTGTAAGCCCTAGGTTGTAACCTGAGCTTCTGACCTACCTACTGTAAGTCCACTTTCCCACAGCCTTCTCCCTAAATTCAGTTAATTTACTAGATGGCTCACAGAACTCTGGGGACACACTTTACTTATTTTTACCTATTACAAAGGATACAGGCAGGTGGAAGGACAAGGTACCAGGGAAGGGATGTAGAATTTCTATGACCTTTCCAGGATCAACTCCAGACACCTCCAGGTGTTCAGCTTCTGGAAGCTTCCCAACCTAGTCCATTTGTGTTTTTATGGAGTCTTCATTACATAGCTGTGAATGATTAGATCAACTCAACCTTCAATGCTTTTTCCTTCCCAGATCATGCCTTGGTCTTCCTGGTGACTGGCCCCTATTCAGAAGCTATTTAGGAGCCCTCAGCCACAGTCATCTCATTACCATAGAGAAGACACTACTATTGCTCTGGAGATTTTAAGGAGCCATCTGCCAAAAAGCAGGGATAGAGACCAAATATGTGTTTCTTCTTATATCACACTGTCACATATGCTGAGAAAATGTAAAATTCAGAAAAGTTGAATAAGGAAATCAAAATCACTATTTTAAAGTATAGAATAGCACTTTTTAATTTGAAGAAGTAGAACAGTACTTTATATATAATCTGGATTTGGGGCATAAGGTTTTATTTGGAGACTATATTTTTAAAACATAATTGAATTTCAGTTTTTTTATGGATATATTGAATAAACTTGTTTATTATATATCTCTTAACCCACCTTCTCTCCTACTCTTTTCAGAATAATGATTTTCCATGAGTTTCTTTGTGGATATTTAAAAGAACACAACAGTAATGAAATATTTGAAGTACTTGTTCCTGAAAATCATGAGCATTGACACAAATTCTACCTCTGGCAACTTTTATTTAAATCACTGAATATTTATGTAAAAAGTTTGGTTGAAAAGAACTCTATATTTTCATATGTATGACAAAACAAAATATGTATTAATAGTGCTTAACTGATGTGATATGTATATTTTTATTATTCCTGACTTAAATTACTCCTTAAAATGTGTTTGTACTGTGAATTAATATAATGTATTGTTCACATTATGCTTTAATAATCTATTTCTAAATGAGCCATGATATATGTGTGTAAATATTTTACAGTACTTATTTTTAAAGTGTTTTTAGTTTTCATGCCTCTGTTTATAACCAATACCTTAATCTACTCACAAAGAATTATCATTTTGATTCTGTGCTGTCAAGCTTTTTCCTTCTGAATGTAAAATTAATTATTCACAGATTTGCTGTCATCAAGGGGAATATATTCAAGTCTAGTCTTAATATCAGAGGTCTTGATAAAATAATTACCATGTGTCATTAATTATTGCCAACCAGAAGAATTGTGATGGGAAATATAAATTTGTATATTATATGCAATATTGAATTATTTTGATTGTCACATGGGCTCTTCATATAATGTAGATTCTATCAAAATCAAGCTAAAAGCTATATTCAGAATTTTGTAAAACAATAGAACAGAAATTTGGAACTTTTTTCCAGTGTATAAAATTCCTTGGTATGTTTGCCTAAAATTTCAGAATATAAAAGTAAGTACAGTAAAATATTTTGTTAAACTTCCAATATGTATTCAATGATATTAATTTTTGTTTCTAATCTTGATGTTGTAACTTACCAGTCTTCCAGAATAGTATATAAACAGGACCCTTTGGCATAGAAATTGAAACAGCTTTTTACAATTCATTTTCAAGGTTGTAATTTAAAGGAATTTAGGTATATGCATATGTTAATAAAAAAACACAAAATAGAATGTCAGATACAAAAATGAATCGTGTTTAAACTGTACGCATCTGAATAAAATCCTGTTCTAGCAAATTTCATTATGATTGAAAAAGAACATAAAAACTAATGAAAGGAAAGTGAAAAATCATTTACTTATGATGTATTTTGTTTCCTTGCTGGTTTAATGAAGTGGAGTTCACATGTGTACTGGAGGTTGGCAGTGTGCTTTTTCTGTAACCTATGTGCTGTGTGTGTTCAGGGTGTGCCCTTTGCAGTACTTCAGTGTTTTTCAGGCATAAGGTGGCCTACTTTCACACAATCTTTGTAATTTTATGTAGCCTATCTCCTTTGCATCCATGTATTATAGCAAAATACAAGGGAAGTGGGACTATTTTCAATGTCATGGAAAATCTTTTAATAAATATATGTAAATAAAATGAAAAACATTGTCCCCACCTTTTCCCCCAAAGCAGTAGCATGACATATTTTGTTAGATATTTCATTTTTAGTTTTCTATAATTTAAAATTGTATAGCTTGCCATAAAATTGTTTTCATAACCATGATCCTACAATTTATTATAAAAATTTGTTTTATCTTAAAATACTGAATGAAATTTTACACATTTTAAATTTTGTTTTAAATAATTTTAAATTATGGAGCTTGACAGATTTACCAATAAACATTCCAGTCGATTATTTTTCTTGTTCTTATAAATATTTTAAAAACTTTTATTTTAGCAATGTTCTTAAATCTAAAATTAAATAAAATTTATTCAAATCAAATTTCATCATATTATGATATCCCTGAACTAGGTGCCAGGCACCTTTTTTTCCTTTTAAGGACTTTCATTTATTATCCAGTTAGTTCAAAATAGAAGAAATTAAGTCAAAATTTCTATTAATAATCTGTCAACAAATTGCATAAACAAATGTGCATATATTGTGAATAGATGTAAATTTTTTCTACTTGCAAATGCTTTTGTTAAGAACATTAATTACCATTAGACTATGATACCTGCCCTCTATCTTAATTAGTGCTTTGTGGATATACATGAAGGTGAGATTTACTGTGCTATATAGTCATATATGTACATAGGAAAAGTTAGGGCAGATTCTTTCCACTCTTCTTCTCTTACTGTGTTCCTCCACCCTCTCTTCAATCCCCTTCCTCTACTCCATTGATCTTCTGTTTTGATAAGGAAGTCCCCCCCCTTCACACATACTTTTCTTTTTCTACCCTTATTTTGGACTAGTTTCTAGATATCAGAGAAAACATTCTGCCTTTGACTTTCAAGGTCTGGTTTATTTCACTTAGTTTAATGGCCTCCATTTCCATCCATTTATTGGCAATTGTTGTAATTCTTTTTTATAGCCAAGTAATACTCCATTGTGTATCTACACCAGTTTCTTAAATCTATTCATCTATTGGCAGGCACCTAGGTTGATTCCATAGCTTGGCTATTTGAATTGTGCTGCTATAAACATTGATGTGGCTGCATGCCTATTGCATGCTGATTTTAGATCCTTTGTAAATATACCAAAGAGTGAGGTAGATGGGTCATATGGTGGTTCCATTTCTAGTTTTCAAAGGAATCTCCATATTGCTTTAGATTCTCTAGATTCTAACAGTGCCATGGTTAACAGTGCTGCTTTAAGAAATTGACCTACCAAATTGATTTCATGACCCATGAATGGACCAACCTGTAGTTTTGAAGAACACTGCTCTTGATCTTATTTATTACCTTCAAAGTCTCAATTTATACCCAGGTGTGGTAGTGTGTGCCTATAGTACCAGCTACTTAGAAGGCCAGCCTGGGAAACAGGCAGACCTTTTCTCAAAAACAAACCCTCAATTGCTAGCATCCTACTCACCCCTTTATCTACATCACTCTGATACACCTTTCCCAAACATGTATGATATTACTAGATCTCTACAAAACGGATTCCATCACCCTCCCTTTTTTATTTTGTATAAACATCATGGTCCTTGTATATACCCTAAATTTTCTTGTCCCTCTGGAGTGAAAACTTGAATCTTGTTTATACTCAATTCCTCTAGCTGCTCTGCATGTATACCTAAGCTGGTGGATGGAACTGGAAAAACATGACCATCCAGGTCTTTTCAAGTTCCTGGCCCTTAAAATCAAGGACTCAGCACTCTGTCAATTCTTAGACATTTTTCTAATCAATCCACACTTGATTTCTCCCCAAGTATTTCACACCTCTTTATTCAGACCTTTAAATCTCCCTCCTCTCAGCTTCTGGATTTTCTTTTTTTCTTTTACCTTTCCCGCCCAATGGAGAAAATGGAAACTCTCCAAATCCATTAAAATGTATCTATATCCGTACAATTTCCTTTCTTCTTATTGCACTATGAACTATATCTACCCTCTGACTATTTCCATCTATTTGTGACCAGAAAAGGAGTGGAGAAAGTATATTCATAATAATTCAGACCAAAAACCTAGATACTTGATACTGGGAAGGAAAGAGCAAAGTCATATAAAGTAAAACACTGTCTTCTTGGGAAGTCTCCTGATGTTTCAGAAATCGACAGCCAGCAATAACACTATATTGGTCCTAAGAGTGACCATCATAATGCACAGAGCTTTGTTCTTCTAGGCACTATTCTGAGAGTTTTATGCATATTAACTCGTTTAATTTCCACAATAAGCATATTGTTATCTTTAGTCTCCTAATTTTAAAGGTAAACACACAGGCAAGAGAAGTTAAATAGGCTGCCCATTCACTAGTAATGAAGTCACTTTTAGACAATTTTAAAGAGATTTAACTTCAAACCAGCAGAAGAAAACTTAATCTCTGCAGTGGAAAGCAGAAAAAAAAAAAAAGGAAAGTATGATAAATGGAAAACATGAAACAAGGGCAAAAATAAATCCTTATATAAAAGTAACTATATAAGTGGGGGTAAAACTTGCCAATTGAAAGAATCAAATTGGATTTTTTTTTTTAACTTTTTGACTCAGGGGCTCACTAATTGCTGAGGCTGGCTTCAAATTTGCGATCCTTCTGCCTCAGCCTCCCGAATTGGTGGGATTACAGGTGTACACCAACATACCTGGCTCAGATTGGATTTTAAAAATAATGTCAACTACAAAAGAGAAACTTGAAATACAAGGCTACGGAATTTTGAAAATAAAAGATTCACTAGGCAAATGGGGGAACAAAGGGAAAGCTCAAGTACCAATCTTTCATTATTCTGACAAGATAGAATTTTAGGGGGAAAAAAGGGACTAAAAGGTGTTATACACTGGTAAAAATAACAATTGGACAAGTTGTCACTATCATAAGGACATGGCTTTACTTGAATATATACACATATAAACTCCACACCAAATAAACTAATTTTTCCCCCAAGCATATCTCTTATATCTAAAAAACATAATATACAGCCAGGTTCATATGCCTTCAGACCCAGCCACTTGGGAGGCTCAGAGGATCACAGGTTCAAGGCCCAAACTGAACCGACATAGTGAGATCCTGTCTCAAAAAAAAAAAAAAAAAAAAAGGCTATAAGTTTGGGAGTTTGGTTCGGGGCCGAGCTTCTGCCTGTCATGCATGATGCTCTGAGCTCAATTCCTAGCACTCCAAAAAGTAGTAATAATAGTAAATCATTAGACCACAAAGGAAGCCTTAGATTAAAAAGGATTAAAACTGTTAACTATTTTTCTGACCACAATGTGTAAACTTTTAAAAGTAAAACTTTGATGTGTTTGGAAACTTCTTTCTTAATTGCTCTTGGGTAAAAATGGAATTCATAAGGGACATGCAATAATTTAGAAATGTTAATTGAATGATGATGAAAGGGGCTGGGGATGTGGCTCAAGCGGTAGCGCGCTCGCCTGGCATGTGTGCGACCCGGGTTCGATCTTCAGCACCACATACAAAGATGTTGTGTCCGCCGAAAACTAAAATAAATAAATAAATATTAAAATTTAAAAAAAAAATGATGATGAAAGCAGAAGAATCAAAATTGTGAAGCACAAAAATGGCCTAATGGGAGGAAAACATATGACTTACATTTGTTAGCCAAGAAATAAAAACTTAACAAATAAGCAGCATTTAACTCAAAAGGTTAGAAAAGAGCACAGCACCCCCTGCTGCCCACTAATACATAATGAAATCAGTAAAGGACCAAAAAAAAAAAAAAAAAGAAAAAAAGATAAGGAACAATTACCACCAACCAAAAAATCAAGATGAGCACAACTAAGAATTGACTCTTTAAAAAGATTAATAAACTTTTTGAAACAAGGCTCATCAAGAAAAAATAAAATTCAAAACAAAAGGAGGAGGGAGACACCCATGCATCA